CCTGTCAGTGACAGAGAGACATGCGCTTCACTTTCGTTCCTTAGTTCTCAGGCTTTTTTGAATGGGATTATCAGCTCCGAACAAACGAGTGCTGAAGACAAACCGTAAATGGTATCTAAAAAATTCTTTCAGTCTAAGCGAGAGCTATCCTTTGTCTCCGATTGGGGTGACTTTCATGGATGTAGCTCATTCACAACCTTAATGGGAAGGAGGAATAAAAAGGTTTGAGAAATCCTGCTGGTCTCATTGATTAACATGCAGCACAATGGTAGAGCAGAACTCTCAAAAGCAAAACTTTCCCTCCGAACAAACGAGCGGTGAGCCAAAACCATATTAGGTATTCAAAAAATTCTTTCACCGTGAGCGTCAGCCATCTTTGGACTACAACTGGTGTAACTGTCATATTTCTACAATATTTCGTCTAGGCGTGGTGACGATGTAAAAAAGTGTATAATTGTCAAAATCTTGATTTTGGGGTTCGGACAGATTTGTTACCCCCGAACAAACCTTGTTCCTAGCTAAATGATAAAAGATATCGACACACTTCCTTCAATGTGAGTGCTAGGAAGGTCTGAGGAACAACTTCAGCAAGGCTCGTGTTGCTACGTCAAACGGTTCCCGAATGGGAGCGATACGAAAAAGTCTGTTTTTTTGAATTTTCACTTCAGATTTTCAGAGAGCTCTCATTGGATTTCTATTGGAGAAGTGTGGACTTCTTCGTGGTCTGGGCCAAACTGTCGGAAAACCGTAAATGCCACACAGATGAGGGTTACATTTCCTGAATCCTGACAAAAATCCCTACGTTTTGATGTAAAATTTATCTAGATAGGGTAAAAAATGAGCGAGTGAGTTGAAGCTGTTCGGCATGAGTGAAATGTTTGAAAACGCTAGAGTGGCACACTCTAGCAGCTGAACATTCCGTCCATAGACTTCCATTATAAATTTGAAAATCTGTAAAAATTGTTTAAAAGTTTGAAGCTTCACTGAAGCAAAACTGTAAAAGCTAGCAAAAAGCCGAGTTAAACAGTAATAGCAGAAAGATACGGAAATATTTTAAAAGTTGAATGGTGTTTCTAGCTGAAAGTATGCAGAAGTAGTTAAAGAGCAAAATAGCAGAAGATTTAGCAGAATTTTAGCAAAATGCCATTCATTTCAATGAAGCAAAAATTTGCAGAAAAAGCAGAATAATTTAAAAAGCAAAAGAGGTAGAAGTACAAAAAGACATAGCCGACATGTCCTAAATGAGCTGAATATTGTGAAATTTGAATGGTTGAAATAGCACAAAGTATGCAGAAGTAGTAGCGTTACAAAAAATGGTCGGAAGAATAAAAATAATAAAAAAAATAAATAAAGAATAAAGAGAAACAGGATCTCAATAGTGTGAATGCCTACAGCATTCACACAATAATAATAATAATAATAAAGAATAAAGAGAAACAGGATCTCAATAGTGTGAATGCTTTACAGCATTCACACAATAAAGAATAAAGAGATACAGCATTCACACAATAAGTGGGAATGCATAAGCATTCCCACTTGATAATAATAATAAAGAAAAACAGAAAAACAATAAGTGGGAATGCTTAAGCATTCCCACTTACTTGTTACCAGTTGAAGCAATTAATTTAAGTTGAAACTGTGAATAGAGCTTAAAATCAAAGCTCCGTCTTAGATGGAGCTTCGATTTTAAACCCTATTCTGTGTTTAATAGGAGGCCAATAAAGGGAAGCCAAAATGAGAAATACGTGATCGCTTTTCAATTTTCATGAGAACTCCAGATCCATCTACTGCTGAAGTTACAGTTGTGAGTTTTCTAGGGGTTAGAATCTACCATCTTCTCACAATTAGAAAGTGAAGAAAATGTTTCTTGGTCTTTTACATTTAAAAACCCAAGCTTAATACCATTGGGTTGAGAGCATTTCAAGTCTTCTGAGAGATTCCCAAAGGGATATAGATCTGGACTTTGACTGGGCCACTCTAATCTAATAATATACTTTGATCTAAAGAAATACATCATTAATGAGAGGCCTACAGAGAACAAAATATTAATACACAAATTAAATTGCATGGACTGTATTTATCAGTTGACTGATTTTAATTAGTTGATTATGTTGACAGCCAGGTACCCTTTCCTTTCCCATTCAGAGTTAGGCTTTACTTTAGGTTGTTCTATCAGACAGCATCCAAAGGAAATACATCGAATGATGTGGCAGTAAAACATCAATATGAATAAGTTCAAGGGGCGTGACTATTTTAATGAGGTACAGTAAATGATTCAATGCCATATCTGCTGCTTTAAATGATTTATTCCAATGCAGGGGTCGGCTTGTAAAATAATACAAAACAAGATGTGAAAATATGAAATTGACAAGTCAAAACAATGCAAAAAAAAGTACATTTGAAACACTCAATAAGGTCCAAAAACATCCTCAACGCTAAGTTCATTGTTTAAGACAATCAGCCTAATTATCAATCATACAGATTTATTCATCCCTTTTTACTTACCGGTAAATTTCCATATTGTCATATTGCACATTTTCTGAAATGAATAAGTGGTATTAAGACAAAGAGCTGCATATGCAAAAAGTCCATCAGAAAAGTAATCACAAGAAAAGTTGGTTGTAAACAATGGAGAAAAGAATGACATAGCAAAAACTGCTGATAAAGAAGCTGTGCTAAAGTTAGTTACAGGCGGGAAACTTTCTCTAAAACTGAAATGGGGGAAAAAAAAAAAAAAAACTAGTAAACCTTGTGAGATTTAAGATAAGCTTAGGTTAATAAACTAAGGGTCAGGCATCAGAACTTTTGTCACATGCTACATGATAAGGGTGGAAGAACGTCTTATGACAGGTGAACAGATGTCAAACTCCTTCAGGTTGATTCACCAGGAAAAATAAAATAAGGAGTGGGGCTTTTTTCAGCTGCATCATTAGTAACACATATCCGGTTATCTCCACTGACAGAAAAGAGACTGATGGATAAAACTAAGTATTTTATGAACAGGTAAGAAAATTTTCTATCATTCAGGTCTGTAACAATTAAAATCTAGAGGCAGGGTACTGATTTTATTATCCTCCCACTCACGAAAGCGACGCCAGAAAATGTTAATTATGCTGAAATTATTATAAAAAAATAACATCCCCAAAAAATTAAATAATTACATCAGCAGTTAATGTAGTTTGATCTCTGCTTCAGAAATGTTCCATGAAAGAAAAAGGTAGAAAACCTTTGACACAGTGCAAAATGTAGTTAATATAGTGTTTGAGCTTACTGTATGATTTCACATCCTACCTCTTCAAGCCACCTTTTGGATTCATATTGTGCTGCTCAGAATCTGAGTCACCATTTTCTCAGTGCTTTCAGACAACTACAGATATAATATAAACTATATGTCTCTGCATATGTTCAAACCAGAAAATTTTTAAGATGCATAAAAGAGGTGAAACTATCTCTGACAAAAATATACCTCACGGTGCTGCTAAAATATCCCCACACATATTGGCTGTGAAACGTTTGCATTAGAATAAGTGAATGAGAAAGCAGGAGGAAGAACATAAATCACAAGCCCACGGTGGGGGAATCTGGTCTCCCACCGAACATCCATCACTAGAAGATGCTTGACTATAGCTCTGCTTCTATAATCCCACACAGTTTGGGAATCACCAGCAGAAATCCTCACATTTCAACACCACTATAAGGCATCTTACTTACAAAAGTCTGACCAACGCTCCCAGTTGTCTCATACTTAAAAGTGAACGGCCTTTGATTTGAGACTAAAAGGAAAACTGTGATTAAATTGACTGGTGAGGAGTCCAGTGCAGAGGACGCTAATATCTGCAACAAGCAGAAAGAATAAATCTGATTTTACCATCGAAAGGATTTCAGTTACAGCAGTAGGAATAGTTCAGCAGGCTTGCATTCCCACAGGGAACAGGTACGGAGATGGGGACAGCAATGAGGATCAGACAACGGATTGGGGTGGGGGTTCTTAGGCTGGGCTCATAGTATTGGGAGAGAAGCTGGGTAGTTTTCAACCAAAAATTGAATGAAAAACATGAGACCCAGTTTGTTGGGTTAGATTAGAGACTAAAAGAAGCCTCTTTGTTTCTCAGTCTGCCATTAATGAAGGACTGGGCGAATTTTCACTAAATCTCTTTCAAAGGATTCAATGAGAAATGCTAAGATGGTGCGTTCATGCCTCACCATAATGTCCATGTCCGTAGGTTGTACTGATCACTTCTTATATAGGGCTGGAGCTCTGAAACATTTAAGCCTTTAGCCCAGAAAACAACAAGGGAAGAGTCTCCTGACCCCAGCTGTCTGTGGACTGTACCACCAAGCCAATGAAACAGGAATGAGCTTCCAGCACAAAGCGCATCAACACACTGTTGTCATTTCTTGGTAAGTACTTTTTCTTTTGTAGCCAAAATTTACCAGGGGGGGCTGGGTAGGGCGAGTTATTCTACATGGGGGCAAAGAACAAAAGAACAAAACCCATAAAAAAAAGAACAGAGCAAGAGCAAATTTTTAGTTTATTAAGTGAGCCACAAACTGGTAAGTTAATTGTAAAGGCGAAGCAGTTACAGCCTCGTCTGTCAACACATATCGTCATAAGAAACTGATTTACTATTATACAGCAAAAACTAATAGAAAAAATTTAAAATCTGTGTATTTGCCTCTAATTTCAGAAAGGAAATTGGATTTTGGCTCTTAGAACAATATAAATTCTGTAAAATTCAAATAAGATAGTTGTTTTCTTTCTTTAAACATAAATCTTCTAATCATATCTGCTTGAATTAAGATAATATGCACCTAGGAAGAAATACTGACTTACATTTACATTTTTGCAGTTTGTGTTTTCATTACAGGGGCCGTATCAGGGGCTAGGACCTGTTCTATGGGGGCACTGGCCCCCACCTTGAACCGCCCATGTCTAACATCCTGTGTATTTTTCATATAAATATACTTTGTTTATTTATTTTTTTTTTGGTGCTGAATAAAATTGTTCCAGAGAGCCTGAGGACTCCAAACCCAATAAGCCATGTCTATTTTTTGATCCACAAGACTGACTTAGGGACCAATTACAATAAATTAGTTTATGTTAAGATATTTTTTACCTTTTACCTGGGCGAATAGCGGGGAAGCTAATGCTAACTATAAGGATGCAGCCAATATTTTATCTTATTATAATATATATATAGAGAGAGAGTATAGTGTTGTTTACAAATTTAATTGATTGTCAATAAAGTATTTAAGTAGAGTATAAGATTTTTTTTTCCTCTTTGGGGAAGTTGTGTGTTCAATCTGCCTTTGTAGAAGGTCATGATGTTTTCAAGGTTTAGGAGGTTATAGAACATGGATAAAGCATTTTTCTCCAGGGTTTTCATTGTTAAATAATCCCGGTTATGGCTTATCTTTCACCTTCCCTTTGGTAGCCCTAACATTGCATATCAGTCACCTAAAACCAACTTAAAGTTGAAACCTATCCCTGTACACCATGTCAAACCCTTAACCCAACCCTGTTGTGTTAAATCAAACCAGGCTGGATTGGACCACATTTGGCTCCGGACTGGATTAGCAAAAAAAGAGAAATGAAAAGATTTTTCACCCCGCTTTTTTAGAGTGTAAAAACAAAAACAAGAAAGGCAGCAATGTTTGATGGTGTTATAGTTCACAATCTGGACAGTAAATCCGGAAATCCCAGTCAGAGTTTTTGTGTAATCGTGTATTAATTTTTCAAATCTCCAATAAACCCCCCAGATTACCCTAAACACTCTTAACGTTTTGCTGCACTCACTGTCTGCCTTTCATAAAGCCCACTAACCGCTCTCAGCTAGACAAACTAAACATACACAGTGCGTCAGTTCGACTGGACATCAGAGCATTTTTGATAAATCTAAAGTGCACACCTTTGACAGTAAAAGTGATAAAAATGTAAAATGAAAAGAAAAAAATGGCATTCTTTCAGTGTGTCTAGACAGAAAAATGGATAGAAAGAAGAAAGTCTCCATCATGGTGCTGAATGTTGCTAAAAAAAAAAAACATAGTGAAGCTGATCATAGGCCTCTGGATCATTTGGTGCTAACTGCTGCGACTCTGGGCTTAATAACCAGGTAATGAGCAAACGTGTGTGTTTACAGTACAGCGTGCAGAACAGTCTGTGTGGTGTCAGTGTGAACCCTAGTTTTCCCAATCGGGGGCCGTCAGTGCATCATCATCTGAGTCAGACTCTGGCGAGGCCTCCTTTATCCGACGCAGCGCCTCGTGAATGCTCCTTGTCAGGGGATCGGTAGAGGCAGAGAGCTCTCTCTGGTCTTTTCTGTCCTTACAGGGGACGCGTCTGAGCTTGACTCCTTTGCGTATTTGAGCCAGGATGCTGTTTGGGTCATCGTCGCCCTTGGTAGGAGCCAGGGAGCGCTGGTCGACCTTTTTCAGGTGGAAGCTACCTCTCTTTAGGGAAGCAAGGACTTCATCCATAGGTGAGCTCCCTGAGTGCAGAAAGCAGAGCAGACACTGATTACTGTACTTAGCAGAGCTGCACTAGTCCCCAAATTCAAGGGATTTTAAGCTAAACTGGAACTTACCACAGGTCAGTTGGTGAGAAACACAATTTTTTTCCCCCCAATAACTAAACACACCACTTCTTATAGCTACCAGGTATTTTTGTATCAATACTCATTGGTGTGTAAACAGTAACCAAGTGAAGAAGTATTTAAAGAATTAAGTCATAGGAAGCACAGATATCAGGAGCTCTTTTAAAGAGGTGTATATTTTGTACAGACATGTCTGTAATTTATCCAGGCTGTAAGAGAGTGCAACAATTTCAAAGATAACAACTCCTTATCTAAAAACACAAAGGGTCCGCTCTTCAGATTCCGAAGCGGCGCCTAATTGCATATTAAAATTAAACTGCACACTAAGTAAAAGTTAAATATAAAATATTAAAATATCATAAAACATGAAAAAGGTGTCTTTGTCTGCTGATTGACCCTGCAGTCAGATTTACAGCAGATTACGCCCCAAACAGCTGGATTTATCTCCACTAATTCCTCTCAGCAGCAGCTTGACCCAAAACGCAGTGAAACAAGGTAGGCCCATACTACAACAATAAAACATTATTCATGCAGAGCCAGTTTGATAACATTAAGGGCAGAAAAAAAATCCCTCCTGCAATGAGTAAGATATATGCATTGTTGTGCCTGAACGCGTTCATTGAACGAAAGTTCATGAACTCGTTCATATTTTGGGCGAACGTGAACTGAACGTACTGCATTACTCCCTGATGAACGTTATTGTGAACGCGTTCATTCTGGTGTCTGTGAACGGCACGCTCTCTCAGTTCAGCTCCGTTCAATAGGTTGCCAGATTTCTATAGAGCCCTCCAGGCGAAACCCCAGCTAAATCACACCGTAAACAGGCCTTAATATGTAGCGGGAAAAACACCCAATCTGGCAACACCAGCTACCAGCGTCGTAGCCTACAGCCGCGTGCGTCATCAAAACAAAATGCAGCGTGGAAGCCACAACAGCATGGAGGCGAAAAAGCAGCAGTATGATCACTTAAAACAGTTTTTTGACCAGGTGGTCGGTGAGGATGATGGCAACAAGTTTGCCCGCCGGCTTTCAGTAAAAAAATCCGCACTTCAGTAACCTTAAATTCCTACCTCAGCCTGGTCCCTCAGTTTGTGTTAGTAAAATCTTCTTGAGCGGAGGTCTTCAACAGGGGATCCGCGACCCCTAGGGGGTCTACGGAGGTACTGCATGAGGGTCTGCATGGTTAGTTGATATTTTTATATTCCCCCCCTGCAATTTTTTCCCCCACTAATTGAAATGTCTTTAAATACTCATTAACATGAAATCAACACACTGTAGTAAACAGATAAATGGAGACAAAAGATGTCTTTCAGTCATCAATGCACACATTCAGCGACACACAGGAGCTCTTTCAAGCTGGGCACCGTTTCATTCACAACAACCAGGAATCAGAATCAGAAAAACTTTAATAATCCCAGGGAGAAATTAATTTCTTTACATTACTCCACCTGTAATAGAGTGACTATAGGACACAATTTCATACAATATATATAGTTAGGGGGTCCCCGCTCCATCTCGCCATCAGTTTGGGGGTCCTTGGTCTGGAAAACATAGAAGACCCCTGTTCTTGAGGGTTTTACTATCCATGTAACTTGTTTGTTAAACCTGCCTGGTATAATTTTCCAGGATTCCAGTATTCCTTTTTAGTATGTATTGAAATGGAATTTCAAATGGAAAAAATTATTAAAATAAAAAAAAAACATTTGCACCTTAAAGACTACTTTCCTATTTTTCTTTTAATAATTCCTCATAAAAAAGACCATTCAAGCAGCACATTTTTCCTGATGTTTTTGAGAATATACTGTAGGGGTGAAAGCTGCTGCTGCTACTAGTGTGAAGTGAATGGACAGCAACAAAGCGTTAAAGCAACAATGGGGAAATGCTGTCCCCTCAATGCTAATGTAAACCCTGGTTGGAGAAGGATTCAAAACTGGATATGAAGATGAAATCTGATGCACAGTTTCAGAGTTACAACTGATAAAATAATTGCTGTCTGTGGTTCTACAGTAGGCTATGGAGTAATTGAGCAATATATGAAAAAAAAAAAAAAGAACTATGAACTAGTTCATTTTTTGGTTTTGAATTATGAACTATGAACTGAACTAGTTCATTTTAAAATGTGTGAACTGAACTTTGAACTAGTTCACGTAGAAAGAGAACTTTCCCAACACTGGATATATGCACCTCCAGATGTTTTTTTTTCTCTTTATTAATTTCATTCTACTAATGTTATTTCTGGTCCAAATATGTTTATATGTTCAAAGACTCTCTCTCCTTTGTCATTACGCCAATGCCTCTTTAGTGGCCACAATGACTGAAGAAGGTTTGCATTTGACTTACAAACCTGCTAAAAAACAAACAAAAAAAACTGGGTTTGCAGATGAGTTTTAGCTTTAAAAATATTGCTTTTGTGCGAGGTGATTATTACCAGTAATACATCTGTGTTCTTATGTCATTAGAAGACAATCTGCATGTTGATGAAGGAACAAGTTTGCACACGCCGCCTGATGAATTGCAAATGTAAATCTCTTAGAAATGTGTTTTAAAGCTTGCAAAACTTTCAAAAGATCAGACCCAAAGTGTGCTGTTAGCGGCACCGTTTGTAAATATGAGATACAAAAGAAAATTGTATTTTCTCCTAATATAATTGATTAATGATTGCTCAAGAAAAAAAACTATTGAATGGTGTTAGATTGTCACATTTTATACTGTAGGTATTAAAGACGCCCAAAGATTTACCGTATTTTCACGACTATAAGGCGCACTTAAACGTCTTTTTTTTCCCTCAAAATGTGCAGTGCGCCCTATGGTGCGGTGCGCCTTATGTGTGTTGTAACTGCGACTTTTGAGACCCCCTCATTGAGGGAGGAGATGATGAAAGAGTGGCTGAATGTAAGGAGACCAGGTGTTTTTTTTTTTCCACTCATCACCATCGCTGTTAATATGTAACTCCATGCGTGCCCATCTCACAGCTGATGTGAAAAACATGGGGAAACAAATTAACGCTGTGCTCGCTGTTCAACCACTCGACATCGGTGTGAACCGGACCCAGCAGGTGCAGCAGAAGCAGCGAGTTTACATGCAAAGTCAATGGTTGACGCGCGTATAGGTGCAGCAAAAGGTCCCGCAGTGCGTTTTGAGCAGCAGGAGCGTTTAAGCATCTGACGCACCGCCAACGCGCTGCTGCTGCTCGAGATGGAAAAATTGAAGTTTTGCTGCTGGACGCGCCCCATCAACCAATCAGAGAAGCTGATCTGGGAGCTGACAGCGAGACAGACACAGCGCTCTGATGACATATGATATTAACGCAAATGGAAAGGGCTGGATGGATGAGGAGATGATGAAAGCGTAGCTGAGGGAGGTGTAGCCTATGTGAGGAGACCAGGTGCTTTTTTCCACGCATCACCATCGCTGCGTGCCCATCTCACAGCCGATGTGAAAAAAAAGATGAATCAAATGGATACTGTGCTCGCCGTTATCCCGGGGGTCTGACAAAGGAGCTTCAACCGCTCGACATCAGTGTGAAGCGGCCGTTCAAAGTAAGGCTGCGAGCGGCGTGGGAGCGATGGATGGCCGACAGAGACCACAGTTTCAGGATAAGTGGAACGCAGCGCCGGGCAAGTTACGCCACTGTTTGCGGATGGATTGTAGATGGACTAACGTGTCTGCTGGCTCTGTTGTACAAGCTTTTGCAAAAGCCGGCATTATTTCTGAGGAGCCGCGCTGCACGGAAAGTGACTGACAGCGAAGATGGGAAATTGGCATTTCTGGTTTAGCGCAGCTGTTTTATTCAGAAACAGATGATGACTTTGATGGGTTTGATTAATACTTTGTAATAAATACATGAATAAAGCACAATCATACTCAGTTTTGCTCCCGCTCTATTTTTCTACCTGAAAACTTAATTCAACAGCAGCCTCTGGGCGGGTCTCCTCCTCTTCACCGCGGTGGCTGGCAGGTGTTTTTCATCTAAATAATCTAAATCTTGCAGCTATATTTGCTGTGATCAGTGGGAATAAAGTAGTTTTAATATGTTTTTAAGTGAGAAAGTCCACCTGAAAACTTAATAATTGCAGTCAGTTCATCCAGATTATCTATTTCTGTCGGAGGCGCTCAGACCCCCACATACCAGCGGTGCGCCGACAGGAGAAATCCTTTCATCAGCAGCCTCTAGGCTGGGCAGCCTCCGGGTTCACGCGGTGGATGGCAGGTGTTTTTCATCTAAATAATTTAAACTGCAGGCACCCATAAAGGCGAACATATTCCGTCGGCAGGTTTCAGGATTTTAAGTTAATTTAGGAGTGATCACAGCGCTGTGTTATCTGCGATGTGTCTGTCTCACGGCCAGCACCCAGGTTTGATTAATACTTTTTAATAAATACATGAATAAAGCACAGTCATACTCAGTTTTGCCCCCGCTGTATTTTTAAATACGCAGTAGAGGTATTTAAAGGTAGTAGAGGACATGTACCTGTATATAAAAAACGCGCCCTATAGTCCGGTGCGCCTCATGTGTGTGTTAAATACAGAAATGTGACACATAACTGAGACTGCGCCTTTTAGTACGGTGCGCCTTGTGGTCGTGAAAATACGGTACATAAAGCTCAACAATTAGCCAATGAGTTCTGACCGATAGTAATGCTTAGGTAAACATTTAAGGTTTTCAGACGTTGATCTTACTATTACTAATTACCTCTTCTGCTGTTGGAATCAAACTCTGGAGTCTTCCTCAGTTTCTTGCGTGCGCTCACCAGCTGGCTGCTGTCAAAAAAGCGAGGGATGAATGGACCGAGAGGTGAGAGCATAAGCTCCTCTTCTGCACTCCTCCCTTCAGCTTTTCTCCTGTATTGGCCCACGCTGCTGCATGGAGAGAACTCCTCCTTTGATGGTGGAGGAGGCGGTGGAGGAGGGGGTGGAGGAGGGGAGATGGGCGATGCCAACAGAGAGGAGAGGGAGCAGGGAGAGCAGGAGGAATCTGCAGGGCTGCTGACGGGCAGGGGAGGAACGGTTGCCATAAGAGTAGCGACGGGCTGAGTGGTGAGGGTGGCGCTGGGGTCCGTCTGCACGCTGGTGCTCAGGCACAGCGGCTGGTCCAGAGTCTGAACGCTCACCGAGTCCACGCACTCCTCCCTCTCACTAACGCTGCCGACATCTAGGCCTCTGCTTCGCTCCCTCCTTCTGCTGTGAGACACTCGGAGACGAGTGGATTTCAGAAACACCTGACCTGGGTACTGCTAAGAAGAGCCGCACAGCGAAAAGTCAACAATAAAACTAAATATGTCACAAAGCATCCAGTAAAAAAAAAAGGTTTTGTACCTGTTTGAAGGAGCGCAGCCTCTCCAGAGTCCTCTGCCTCTCCTGACTTACTCTGCTGTTCTTCAGATCCTCATCTTCCTCCTCTTCATTTCCAAACTGGAACATGTTAAGGATTAGATAAATAAGAACCACTGATAATGTAGAAAATATGTTTTAAGACAGAAAAACCCCACTCTTATTATGCCCACGGTTCCTTTTACCGTGGGGTATCTACTTGTGAAGAGTATCTATGGGTTCCTGCCTCCAATCACTTTCCCAGCATGGGGGAAAGTATCCCTAATTTCACCTTCACCTGTCAGTGAACAAACCTACTAAGCTGAGTTAATGTGTTCCTTAAATCGTTTCTATTTATCTTCTGATTGCTAATGTGTTTATATTTGCTTTTTCAATGCACTGGGAAAAAAATCTAGATAAGTCTTTTTTTTTTTTTTTAATAAGTGCATTTGTTCTTGGATTGAGGAGGTTTAAAAAGACATTTTGCCAATGCAACAAGACAACTTACACTTAAAATAAGAAAACACAATTACAATGTCTTATTTCAAGTGCATTTTATCTGAATCTCTTATTTTAAGAGTAAAAATACTAATTCCATTTGCAAACTATCTCATTTACCTATTCAAATTAAGGGTAAATACAGTTAATTTAAGACATTTTTTAGTATTCTAGATCGTATTTCCAATGTGTTACTATAGATACTAAACACTTCTAAGAGAACTCTTAGCAGCTGGCTGATATGTTTGTTTTAAAAGCTTTAATGATTACAAGAGAGTCCCACCTGTAAGATACGGTGGGACAGTGATCCCTTAAGGACGGTGTGAGGTCTCTGCTGCTTCTGAGAGTGGTTAGACACACATATCTCCTGCAGGAAGAAGCCAAGAAACAAATCCACATCAAATAAATCATCGACTTTGGATAACAGTTCATTGGTGGAATCTAAATTAAATGGATGACGCATTTCTTACTCGATGGCTAAAAAGTAAAGAGTTTATCAAACACACACCCTTTTGTTGAGCAGATAGGAGCGTTTGTTACTGATGCGCCCCCTTCTGACTTCAAGCTGTCGAGCACTGATCTGAAGTCTGCGCAGCTCTTCCTTCTCTCCGGTATCATCCTGCGTAATGTCATCAGCACTTTCAAAGGTGTCGTAATAAACCACCTCGTCCTGACGCTCTGAAAACACACATATACACAAAAGCCATGCTGTCAGATGAGAGCCAAAAGGAGCTTAGAAAGATATTTTAAACTGAAATATCAATTATAATCTCAGCACTTTTTCACTCGATGGACTATTTATTGTCTGCAGCTGCTTATACTTTATTATTTACAATAAAAATTGGATCTAAATCTCCATGCCTTACACTTTTTTAAAATTTAGAAATTTTTTATTTTTTGTTTACTGACCAAAGTAAAAAAAAAAAAAAGTTTGTGTCTTATAAGAACCACTGCTGACATTTAAACCCAACTACATATCAAATTGTGATTTTTTTTTGTTACTCCCCTAATTATCATTATCAGCACCACAGCAAACCTCAGCTACTCCTCAGGCATCGTGACAAAGATTTAAAATGTTCGTTTAAATTAAATAATTCAGTGTCTAAGGATTTAAAAAAGATATATTTTTTGTTCAAACTATTAAGGAAATATTACTAAAGAAGATTTTTATAAAATAGATTTGTTCAAGCTTTCTGTCCGTGTTTTAACAAGTCCTTAAACTTTTCTTCACACACAGCAAACAATAACCCTACCCATCATCTGTCTACGAATGCTGTCTAGCTGTGCAGTGAGAAGCAGCTCTTCACATTGCAGGATCTCAGCCTGTATGTCATACAGCTGGAGCTGGAGCTCATAGTACTGCGTCTCCAAGTGGTCCAATAGGGCCATGGCGTCCTCACTGCTGCACAGACTCTGCATCTGAAGAAATGTATGAATTCATCATTAGACCTTACCAATGCAGCAGTGTTTTTATTGCCTCTCAGAGACGACGGTACCTCACCTCCTCTCGAAGTGTGTGCTTCCTCTGCTCCAGACAGATCTCCCGCGCTCTCTGAAGCTGTAGGGTTTCCTTGGCTACAGAGTATCGGAGCCTCTCCATGCGCTCCACCGCAGCTGTCCATGAAGATTTCCCAAATTTTCGCTGATCCACTTTCATCCGTTCGTAAACTCCTGCACAAAAAAATGATAAAATAAAAAAACATAATTTAAAGTTAGAAATAAAACATTTGAGTTTGAGATGACGCTTGTGTGAACTAGGCCATAAATCAGTGCAGTGAGCAGAAAACTCATTTATTTATGGAGAACAGAATATCTTCTAATAGTTTCTCCCATGACAAAAGAGAGACATCTACTGGTCACAGTAGACAGTTATTTTCTCTTTTTGAGTCAGAGCCACTTTCTCACAGAACATTTAAATACAGGGTGTCACACAATATATAAAATATGTCAATGGAAAATTAAATAATTGATCTAAAAAGTCAATAATTCTCCACTTTATTCTCTTCACTGCATGCATTTCTTAAAAAAAAAAAGTTTTAAAAACTACAAACTCCCATTATTTGATAGATTTAAACACTGAGTACAACTACAAGAGTACATGGGACGTGTATGAATCCCCCACAGGACATTGAGAACAGCAGCTACGGCATATACAGTAGTACCTTTCTGAGCTCTGGCAGTGATCTCAAAGTATTTTACGGTGAACTCCTGGATGTTGAGGACGGCTTCTTGAGCTTTCTTCTGCCAGTCAGTATCCTCCTTCTTTAATGCCTCAATCCGTCTGGGGCCCAAATAGTCGTTGTCCAATGATATCTGATGAGAGAGGTTTAAAACTAAGTACACTCTTAGTTAAACTATGTAGTGTGCTCATATTTAAAAAAAATAATGTCACAAAAAAACATTTAACATAATGGCAGCTAACTAAAACAGATTAAAATGACTTTAGGAGGCAAAATTTTCCTCCAAAGAAGTTTTAAGAATATATTTTTTTCTTTTACTCAAATTCGAGATGGAATCTAAGAGAGAGATCCCCCAACTGATAGCATCGACATGGGAACACACATCCTAACTGTGCATCTGCACACACTAAAGGGAGATAAGGCCTGAAGAGTCACGTTAATCCCTGTAAACAGTTTTATATACTGAACCATATGGGATGGCAAACCCCTACCCCCAATGGTTATCAGCGTATTAAGAGAGGAAGAAAGAAGGTGGAGCTTTTAGAGGCAGATTAGATTAAATGACTAAATTAGAGGAAGACATTAGTAAATGACTCATTACAAACTGAGCTCTGCCTGATTAACTGTAGCCGTGTTTCTATTCATCACGTCACGCTACCAGGATGAACAATTCAATGTGTTCAAAGCTATATGCAGAACATTTTTCATTAAAAAAAAATCTGCCTGCTCTTCTGGTAATAATCATAGTTTAGATATCTAAGCAAAAAGATTTCCACTTATTTATTTATAAAAACAAAACAAAAGAAAAAAAACAGCACAGAGCAGAAACCAGCTTCTGATTTTCAGAGTTTACCATTTTTACCAGCTGCAGAATAAAACCCTAACTCTTGTAATACATGTAGAATCTTTAAAGTACATGTAGAGCTTTAAGAGAGCAGGTATCTTTATTTCATCGAAAACCAGTTCTATAAAACAGCATTTGAATTGTTTAACAATTGCAGGTCCAGTTTACCTCAATTTGAATCTGTTTTTAATTTTTGGATGAGTTTGCATCACCTGAGGAATGGAAACCTCAGAGGTAAAACGTTAGCAATCAATGATGGGAATAAGATTTAAACATAAAACAGTGGAAAAAGAAATTGTGTGCATTTTTCTTTTTTTTTCTTACTTCTCCAGATTAATTTTTATGCATTTTTGAGATGAATTGAATGTATAATTTTGAGTCCGACTTTATTCCTAGAGTCCTACTTCCTCTATAACCGTGCCTCTGTTCTGGCCTTTTGAAAAATGTGTTGAACAGACTTTAGATATTAAGCACCTGTGTACAGTACTAAAAAAAAAAAACTACACAAAGCAATAAAAAGAATTAGCAGCCAATATGGGAGCTAGTGTTGATGTAGTTTTGGTATTAAGCTGTCAGAGGGTTAGATACAGTAATGACCACACTAGCCCACCTCAGAGACATTTACACAAACAGAATATAGCGGAAAGCCAACATGAAGATCAATGACCTCTTTGCACCCTCAACACTCTCCTCCTTCGCCTCACTACAAATCATTCAAACATTAGACCAAGATATTACTTTTACCCACAAGCCGCAATCATCTCTGGTTATTTAAAGTTTTTTGCACTTTACACCTAAAATAGCCAAGTGTAGTTTAACATTACAGTCAATTCTTGACTATAGCTTACACCAGGGTTGTTTAACGTTTTCCAGGCCAAAGACCCCCCAACTGATGGTGAGATGGAGCGAGGACCCCCTAATTATATTGTATGAAATTATGTTATATCAAACTGGTCCTATAGTCACTCTATTACATATGGAGTAATGTAACGAAAGTAATTTTTCCCTGGGATTATTAAAGTATTTCTGATTCTGATTCCTGGTTGATGGGACAGGTGTTGTGAATAAAACGGTGCCCATGTTGAAAGAGCTCCTGTGTGTCGCTGAATGTATGCATTGATAACAAAGATCTTCTACCTCTATTTATCTGTTTATTTCAGTGTGCTGAACTCATGTTAATGCGTACTTAAAGACGTTTTAATTAATGGAAAAAATTGCTGGGTGGAATATATAAAGAAAGTCCAATCAACCAAAACTTTCGCGATACCCATGCAGTACCTCTGTGGATCCCCTAGGGGTCGCAGACCCCCTGTTGAAGACCTCCGGCTTACACAGTGTATTTTAGTACTTACATTATTTTTCTTTTATATTGTTTTAATTTTATTTCATGTATCCCGTTGCTACTGTCTCTTTGTTATTTGCTACATAGTTCATGTAACAATTTATTAGAAAAATATCAAAAATATTTATTAATTCCTTTACAAAACATTTAAACCTTTTGAATGTGTGTTGGGATGTTTTTAATCCTTCCCCAGGACAGGACTCAGCCATTCAGCTACACCTGAAGGCTAAAGGACACTCATTGGAGGACAACAACAACATCCACATTCTGGCCAAGGAAGAAAGATGGTTTGAGAGAGGGGTTGAGGAAGCCATGTTTGTTAACCTTGAAAAACCATCTCTCAACAGAGGAGGTGGTTTTAGAATGAACATTTTACCTACTTACAAAGCACTGTAAGAAACATTACAGAGAAGATTCATCTCTCACTGGCCCTCGCTTGACTCACACTTCAATGAGGGATGGGACCGAAACCACTCTGATGAGGGAGTCATCAACCCATCAGAACCCCTTAACGACCATTAACACCCCCCAAGTGTCCTTCGTGGCCAATCCTACAGGAAGGATCAGAGCCACCTTTTGTCCCCCTTAATTATTTCTTACACCTACAGTATATTAATCTCAGTGCTCCCCACCACTAGTTACAACTGAAGAAGCCTGTTGGATGAGACGCAAAACGTCTTTCAGAAAACTTCACGTCCAGTTGCTTAGACTGAACCTTTTCTTGATTGTATTTTGATTATTATTTTTTATTAAGAGTCAGCTCCAAGGCCTCCTTACCATTCCTCTAATCTTTCACTCATTTGACAGTTTATCTGATTCTAGTTGGAAAACAAAAGACTGATATAAATCAAAATTTGCTGAAGATACTAATCAAAATAGTAAAATAAAATTAAAGAAATACATAGATTTTGTTGTGATACCAATGCAAAAACTGACCTGAAAAAAAAAGTGCTACAGTAAAACTAACCATAATCACACTCTGCAGGCTATAGATATACACTGAGAATATGAGACATGCTCACACATCCCCTCGCCCATATAGGGTTCCATGGTGTAATGGTTAGCACTCTGGACTCTGAATCCAGCGATCCGAGTTCAAATCTCGGTAGGACCTTCACATTTTGAGGGGGGGATTATTTAAGCATCTCACTGGAGTAACAAAAGAAAACACAAAGTGGAACAAAAGACAGACAGGAAGAGCAAACATTCCTCAATGGAAATAACCGACTACTAAAGAAGCATTTCCTCTGGGGCAAAAACCACCCAGCAGACTGTCATCTGAAGCCAACTTATAGAATGCTGAGTGAAAGCTGTGAGAATTTTCCTCTTAAGTGAAAAAAATCCTTCACACAAATGTAATGTTACGGTGCAAAAATTTGGCAGTAAAAAACTCCAAAAAACTACGCTGTCATTCTAAGGCACTCGTGTTCAGAACATAAACATCTAGACAGGAAGCTAAACTCTGCTCTTCGTCTTTTCATTTCAGTTAGATTCCTGCCGATCCCACTGAGTCTGCATAAAGCTGTACCTGCTGTAAGCCTATAGGATCACACAGCACATGATTTATTTATGTTTTTGAGACTGAGAGCCGTTTGAGCAGACAACATGTCACTCTAGCTCTAGGTACCACATCCTGTTACTCTTTCTAAGGCAGCGCAAAAATGGACCAAACTGAAAGGGCCTCAGGGGACCTTATGGATCAATGGGTTTGTTGATGGTATTGTGATACTACTAGAACTCTAGTGCATTATTGCTGCAAAGGTTTTACTTGTTTAAGATTTTTAATGAAATACAAATGACAACTGCTTCATATTTTGTCACACTATAACCACAAACATATTTTGCTGGGATTTTAACACAAATTAGATTGGGGTTAAGCTATATTTCTTATGTCTTTTGTGGGTTTTGTAATTACCTAATAAAAAGTGAGTGTTCACCCCCTTAACCTTAAATTCTTAAATAAAACACATCACTTGCCCCAGCTGACAAGGTCCACCTATGTATGTTGCAGTATAATTCAGTTGGTTTATATAGCACAGATTCAAAACAAATGTCATCTCAACACACTTTACAGAGAAAATACAGTCAGATTGGTTAAATGTTTCTATTAAAGAAAACAAGTTGATTGCATCCAGTCATTGACTCTTAGGACATGTCCTCCTGGATGAGCTTGTGGCAACGATTTTCACTTGCATATTGTTGTTGACTCTACAACAATCCTTCACACCAAGCATGCTTGTAGTGACAGTGGAGAGGAAAAACTCCCTTTTAACCAGAAGAAATCTCCAGCAGAACCAGGCTCAGTATGAGCAGCCATCTGCTGAGGCTGACTGGATACAGAAAAAGGTAGAGATACAAAAGGTATCTGGTAACTAGCTCCACAGGCGGCCCCGTCCAAGAAAACACACACCGAGGCAGAGGAGCTCAGACCCACTTCTCATGTCAGAGAATGAAAGAGAGCACATACAGGCTGTGTCTCTAACAAACTGAAATGCTAATTTTAATGGAACTTTTAAAAGTTTGATAACAGAAAATGCAAATTTGCCATGTTTCCGTTTGGTATTAAGTGAATTAACCAAACACCACAAAGCATATTGCATATCACGTTGTCACAGATGGTTGTAATAAAGAAGAAGTAGAGGCTCCTCTCTAGCATGGACCACAGATCAGAAATGGAGCAAAATTTTAATATAGTTTTTTGCTATTGGGCAAATTGTTCTTACGTTAACTTAAAATGTCAGCTAGTAATGGCGATGATGCTTCCAACCATGTTTACACACATACAGTATCATCAGGAAGAAGCCGACAGCACAAACAGCTGATCAGTCATGTGAGGTAAAAGTTAATTACACCAGAGCTGTTTAGAAAGTGTTTCCATCTACTTTTTTGCGCATTAACCCTTTTTGGCTAAAGTCAAAAACCACCTAAAGCAAGCATAAAACACGTTTTTATGAATTTGTGGGAATTTTGTTTTTTTTTCTGCATTTTGCCAATTCCATCAAGTTTTCTGATGAGATACTTCAAAATGCGCATTAGAAAAAGCCAATGGAAATACACCGATAGTTAGTGACATACCATGTGTGATATTTTTAATCGTTGCTAGCAGCTACAGCTCAAACTGTACGACGAAAACACAGGGTTTAAAGGAATAGTACACCCAAAACATGATTAGCCTTCATTTTCTACTCACCCCCATGCTGAACAACACTCTGGAGTACTTTTTTGATATCTCAAATGCATTTGGAGATCTGGGAGGCTTCTTGCTGTCTGCTGACATTCAAATAATGGAGGTCTATGGTGTCCAAGACAGAAAGGTCCATAAAAGTCCACAAAAAACGTGTCAATATTCCTCCATACTGCTCGTCCAATGTATTCCAAGTGTCCTGAGTGGGTAGCGTCCATAATTTACGCGAAACGAAGTCATTTAGAATGTTTTTAGAGCATAAACAGTAGTGTATAGGATTTCCTAAAAGCGCGTTCACGAGTCTACGGAAACCGCGGCAGACCAAACCAGATGAAAGTGCGCATTCGGCTCGGCAAAGAACTCATGCTCTTCCTCAACACTGAAGTCCTCAGACATTTTTCTTTCGTTGTTTCTTTCTTTGCACAGGTAAACAGCACATTTCTTCTACGCTTGCATTATCGGCAGAGCAGACGCTGAATGCGTGAATGAGTGTTGTTCAGCATGCGGGTGAGTAGAAAATGAAGGCTAATCATGTTTTGGGTGTACTATTCCTTTAAAAGTTCACAGTTCACATGCATGTTCTCAGACTGTGCGGCCTGATGCTCTGATGCGATCTACCTGCTCACACTGCACGTCCAAAAACCACAGGTGGGACTGAGCGCCGAGAGATTGCGCTGATCGGACTTGTCAATCCAGAAGAAGAAGAACTCCCTTGTTTGCAAATGCGCAGTGCTCGAGGTTCTGGTAAATCGGCTCGTAGCTCTGCTTCAACAGCAGGATTTATCAATGAACACCTTACGATGGCCGACTGAATTTCAAACATGTTTGATTTTCTCCCGACCTTGCGATTTCTGTTCGGGAGGTGGTCATGAGAGGCTGATTGCCCCTCATTACCCCCTGTATACTAGGACACACGATGAGGCTGAAACAGAATGATGAAAGGTGTTCCCTTTGTCCTCCAGCAGCGTAAACATATAACAGCATAAATATAGAAAATAGCTCACCTAACTATTTTGGATGGGGGGGTGAGAAAGGTAAAGCCAAGTATAGTCACAGTATAATTCAATTCCATCCCGTTTATTTATATAGCTCCTATTCACAACACGTCATGAAATAACTCGACATAGGTCCAAACGGGCCAAGGTACACATGTTTTTCTCTTTAAAAAGACCTGTCTGTGCCTTTTATGATGGCATATTACAGACTTAAAAGTTTTTTTTTTGTTTCACTGGAAAATTGTCTCATCTGCTGTATGTGTTTTAAACGAGTGTCCTTTCTGCGGTCTGTCTGGAAATGTGTTCCATGTTTTTATGGAACGTACAAGACTAAAGGCAAGTTTTAGCCTTTTATTAAGTGTTAGTCTTTTTCGGATGGTTTATTTATAGAAGGAGTTTACCAGAATACAAGATCAAAGCCAAAGGCCCCCAAAATTTTTTTATCAGTGAAGCGAAGATGGCCATTTATCTGTCCCGCAGAGACAGACTGCAGGAGGAACCTCACCTTGATGCTGTGGCTCCATGGAAGTGCAACGTTAAAGCCAGAATAAGGCTGGAGTTTCACCTCAACAGAGCCACACAGAATATGGAGGATTTTATGCAGTTGTGGGGGTTTAACAAAATTTATGTACTGTTAGATGGAGATTTACATTATAAGAAGCTCTTCATTTAAATGATTTTTAGCTGACACATGTTTTTAGATTAACAGTGATTTTTAACTGACACATTTTTTTACGTGAATAATTGTTTATATTGTTTGAATGGTGTAAACAAAGTGTTGTTAATGGTCAAAATAGTTTTAAAAGTTTGCAACTTCCAAAAGAAGAAAAGCTGTGTAAGTAAAAAATAAAACCTACCTTTATCTGCTGTCTGCGTAGCATCGCTAGTTCCCTCATGTCTCTGAAGGGCTGCAGCAGGTACTGATACAGCTGTGTAGAAGCTTCCAGCAGGCCTCCATAGGCCTGGTCTTCCTCCTCATAAAGCTCCAGCAGCTCCACCATGCTGTCCATGGATTTGTGTTTCTCCAGCAGCTGCAGCACAAGCCATATTTCACTTATCAGTTATTCTGTCCATATTGCTTATTAATTTCTATGACATTGTCATTAGGTAGGAATGAGAGCTTGTCAGGGAGTCCTGTATCCAGATTTGGGATGGGAAATATGTTTGTTCAGCACCACTTACACTATGGGTACATCAAAGAGCTTTACATTAAAACCAAAGGAGCAAAAATAGAAAAAAAAAATGATTCATTAAAAAGACATTCAAACAAAAAAAACTACATGCAAACGTGAAACACAAGTAAATAAAAAGAAAGATACTACATTTAAGGAAATAAAAATCTAAGCAACATTTGTCCTTCATGGTTAAACTGCAGTAAACAGCAACCCTTTCTGTGTTGCCTTGATTTAAGACAGCCTCTCCTTGTTTAGCCGTAGTCCTGGTAACACTGGGAGAACACGTCTCTGATGAACTCTTTGGCCTAAATATATTAGGAAAATCTAATAAATAGGAAGCCAGATAGGTGATTCCAGGACTGATTTGCTCCATTCTCCTGGTGCTGATGAGCATCATGGCCACAACGGCATTCACTGGGCCTGTCATTGTAACAGACACCATTACACTAAACTGACCCAAAGAAAACAGAAAGAAGCACTTTTTTCCCCATCTTAAAAATAACACTTAATTTAATATCACTTTACTATAAAAACAGGCCCAAATGCATTTGTAAATAATAAGCAACTATGTAAACAGTATAGCATAAGGGCAGACAGCTCTAATTAAAAACACTTTAACCTCTCTGTGTAGCTGCTCTGTAGCTATAAATAATAGAAGTCTTTTAATCCAGAGTCCAAGGCTCAATAAGCAAAGTCATATCTGGAGCTGCTGGAAAAAAAAAAGATCAATGCTCACACGAATTAGTAAGGCTGAACAGGCCGACCGGGCCGGCTACCAGCAACACTAAAAAAGCCATTAACTTGGCCCTCAAATGGAGTGAGAGGATCAATAACCCAGTGTGTTTGTGTGTGTGTGTGAAAGGCAGCAAGACAACCAGCAGCAACTGTCTGTGGATGAGCTACAGGACGCTGTCATAGAAGACACAAGAGCTCTGTAAACGCTGCGATAAAGAGCAAAGAGAGATCCGGCATGCAGTCTATCCTGAAATCACAATCTGGGAAACAACTGCTGATGTGTTTAAACTGATCCTCGCTTGGTTTTTCTTTATATTTTACAGATTCTAGGCACTGCGTGTGGATTCATGCTCAATGAATTCACAGCCTCTTTTTTTTTGGTGCCAAAAGTAGAACAGGAAGACCCTGTCCTCCATGAGCACATTAGCATATGTGCATAGAGTATATACTCTATTCTTTAGCAACAGCTACACAAGCTATTTACTGAAGGAGATCTATAATACTATAAAACAAATAACGGAAACATAAACGCCTCTCTGACCCAATCTCTCTGAGGACACGTTGTTCTGGCTCTACCAGTCAAGAATGCATTAATCCTCCTCCATTGATTAGACAGACAAGACGAGAGTCAGTGTGCATAAATATACTGTCTGTTTATATTAGGAGCAGCTAATCAATCAGCAGCTGCTGCTGGGATGTAACCTGAGCGGGCCTGGAGTTCAGACTCTGTCTGAAGCACCGTGAGTCAGGAACACAGCATCTTCATTTGCTGCAAGGCTTTAGTCCACTGATATACAAGAATTTCGTTAAAAAAAACTGTATATTCTTTATCATTTAATTCATCTTTGAAAATTTATTGGAGGATATTTCCACATTGATAATAATTTCTATAAGATCCCCTTCACTATACCTTCCATTTTAGTGTTACATCCAGATGATTTTAAATATAATAAAACTGTTAAATAATAGTCAAGACCACAACAACTGAGACCAAGACATGTCTCGGTACTCTTTGGCGTTGGTCGGTGTAGTATTGACAATAACAATATTAAATCATTAAATTCAAAACATTTAATCTCATATTAAACATTTATATAGTTTCATGTTTCAATCAAATGTTAGAGTTTTGCAGGAAACCTGAATATTATATCAGAGAAACCAAAACATGATTATGGCCTGCATGATAATAGGGAGGACTGCTGGCTAGTCAGAAGACATTGAAACCCTCTGAAAGGACAATGAGTCACAAAAAAATAATGATTGAATAAGCTTGGTTTTTTCTACGGATTGGGAAGATTGTTAGAAAAAGATCTGCTTAAGAGTTTTCTGAGGAGTCTTAATGCATCAAAGACTGATCACCTCCTTTTACTGCAATGATTTGGAGAATTTCGACCCTGAATTAACAGCAGGGTTCCATGGTGTAATGGTTAGCACTCTGGACTTTGAATCCAGTGATCTTAGTTCAAATCTAGGTGGAACCTTCACATTTTCCTGAGTGATGACCTAGTGGTTATGGCATTTGGGTCTTGGAGCTCTCTTATAACAAGGAGCGCATGAGCAGACCGCGTCATCTCATTGCAATCAGCTTCCAATAGTTGCTGGCAATGCAAGCAGTAAATTGCTTATCAACCACCATAAAACAGAAGAACTCTAAACATTGAAATCTTCACATTTTTTTTGTCATATCCACTTCCCAAAAGCCGACTCAGTCAAGTACATTCAACAAAGGTTGCCTTCTTCATCTGACTCTCCAGAAAACAACAAGATATCACAATTATAACCAAAGGTAACTTCCTGAATGTTACAGGTGCCGCCATTTTTAGTTGCTTGATTCCCTCCTTCAATCCTAGCAGTAGTACCATAGATCGTCTCTAGGAGGCGAAGAACCGTGTTAGCGTGATGTGTAAATGATCATAAGGAACCGAGCTTGGCACAGATCGGATTCAGAGGGGTACAGTAAATGGGGCATAGGTTTAAAAAACCTAGACTAAAAACTGTTCAGCAATAAAAAGTCGTGCGGGAGGGGGGACACAATACAATGTTAAATATGACCTATTTATACTTTACTTAAAAGTAACACCCACTACAGAAAATGTCCGGGCTTTAGACTATTTGAATTCTCCTGGAAAGTAAATTCCTGTTAAATTTGTGTTTTTCCAACTATTTTATTAGAAAAAAGGCATAATAAAAACAATTTAAACTCTTCTTAATAATCAATGAAAAACTCCTTTATTTGCATTAAAAAATTATGCCTTTTGTAATATTTAGTGACCAGCTTTTTGCATATTTCCTGTAGTAGTTGGATGATTTATTTTGTTTGACTTTCTTGAAAACTATTAGACTGAAAGGCTTCTGCGCTAATGTTTAGCTCCTTCGATAAATCCTCCATCGTAGCCAACAGTTATTGAGGAGGCACCACCACTGACACCATTAAAGTTAATGAAATAAAATCTGAGAGCTTTCAAGAGATAATTAATGTCACTTGCTTTACCTGTCAGCCGCTTTTATATGTGGATAATTGCTGACCATGTTCACCATTATCTCGATAAGGACACTGCAATTACTATAAATGCTACCATTAAATGAAATTGTGGCAACAGACGTGCCATCACCGAAGATGACTCGGGACATCATTTCTAAAAGCTTATTGTTAAGAGGTGAAAAGGACTTATACTATCTGTGTGTGTGGTGTGTATGTATCTGTGTGCTGTTGACTGTGTCAGCTGTGTAAGCAGTCAGCAGCAGCCATGCTGAGAGTACAATAAAGCCCACATGCTTACAGATGCAACCCACTTTTACTAAATCTTCCCTTACTGTCAGTCCAGCTGAGTTATTCAATGAGTTGCATTGTAAATGCAGCACTTTTAAGCCCTAATACCTCATACCAAGCCTATAGTTTCAGACTTAACTTTAAAGAGTTTTAATGTTCTGGATTATCGGTTTTGGGGTTTGTGTGTTGAAGGAATTATGATAGAGAACATGAAGAAAACTACAACAGAAAGTACTTGGGCTACCTTTGGTAATTTTCTAAAGAAATGTTGGTATCAATTAGGACAAATTATAAGGGGGAAAAATGAAAATTAACTATGCTGTATGGATAAGGAACTCTAGGCCAAAAGATTGGCTTTTTGAAAGGTAATGAAAGGCAACTTGCTGAAAATAAAGGGTGGGTTGGAAACCAGCCATACTGGATTCAAAGATTGAGGGTTCCTGAGCAAAACCCTCAACCATTGATTGCTCCCCAGGCATCACACAATGGCAGCCCACTGTTCCCCAAGGGGATTAATTAAATCAGAGAACAAATTTCCCCATTGTGGGACAGTAAAGGGATTTACATTGATAAAAAACAACTTCCTCTCGCTTAGAAATCTGACTTTAAACATCTTCATTACATTTTCTCCATTTGAATTCCACTAATGTCAATTTCGAAGAGCAGTTAGAATGTTAAACCATATTCAGACCTTTGCTGGTAAGATTAAATTATTACAATTGCTGAAAAAGCACACTGAGTCTATTCTGTCTGCCTACATCACACAAAGGCTCCAATGCACTGAGATATGGTGAGTGTAGAGGCCACTGGAGAACATTAAACTCATCATCATGGAACAGAAATGTAAACTTTAATCTTGGCTTCATTGTTCATTTATGATCAGATTGTAAATTAATTAAAATTGACAGCAGAAAATGTCAATTTTCAAGTTTCTAGTATCTGCTAGTTTGGCATGTTGAGAGCAGAAATGATTAGTTTATTTAAGTGTCTGCATCTAAAATAATTCAATTCTCTTCTAACTGATGAGACATTTGCCTCTAGGTAACTGCAGGTCCCTTGATGTCTTGCTTTCTGTTAATTTAATGGTAGACATGGGTGGTTCTGGACAGGGGCCAACAAGGGCCAGTGCCCCCATGGAACTGTCTCCATTACAGCCCCTGTGCTGAAGACATTACACTAAAGAGATCTGATGAAGATATGCACTGAGAGAGTAACTGATAGCTCCCTTGGATCCATTTAATTTATTTTATGTACAATTCTGTTTTTTTTTCTATTTGAAAATGAAGTAAAAAAAAAATTCTATCATAGTGAGATAAGATTGTTTTTATCCATTAAACGTTATTTTGAAAATAGTTTAAAAAGTACTCTAATTTGTTATACATCAATTTATCAGTTTTATTAAAGGGATGGTGGGGGATGTTCTTTTTCCGGGTGGATCATCAAAATAAGTGGTCCTCCTAATTGTTAGTCATTCTGGTGATATGCAAATCACAGACCTAATGTGTACTTTTTATAAAAATAACGAAGAAAAGCTTATTCATCTTAACATTACTTTAACAGATAAGGATGTTTTGTTTGGAATGGAGAAATGTGAACTTGTCAAAACTGAATATTTTCATCATCAATCATATTCACACCTCCAAATATTTACAACAAAAACCTAATTTCCAAGTTTTATTATCTTCTATTAATATCTATATAGAATCCTTAACATTTAGTTCAAATGCTAAAGCCATGCAATTATAACTGCCCTTAAAGAATTATAACCCTACAGCATAGATTTGATTTTGACTTTTTAAAATAATAGCTCTGTTCTGTAAAGCCCTTTGTTGTTTTATATGTTTGTAATTATAAATGTTCTATATTGTTCATGCAGGGGCGGAGCTAGATTGGGGGCCATGGCCATCCTTAGCCAATCATTGGCCACCCCTACCATCCCCCCCCCCCCTAATACAGATGGTGGCAGCAGTAATACTCTCAAGTGGAATATTCATTTTAATTTTTCATATATTACTCACTATTTTTTCATGTATTCACAATTTCTTGACAACAAAAACACTGTGGTTAAATATACACATCAATATACTAACATTAAAGATAATAAGTACAGAATTAATGCTTTTTTCAGAACTAGATTTTGTGTTATATGGAGTAAAGAGAAAATGATGTGTCTCTGCAAGTCACCTAGGAGTCTTCAGTGAAATCATAGATAACTATTTTAATAAAAATTTATTAAATAATCGATTTATATAGATATAAGTACTTGTAAATATCAATTTTATGCAGAATGGTTGATAAAAGTAGGTAAGCAATGACAATGGGAAAGATGTTTGCCCCATAACTCAAACCTGAAAGCATTTTACCTTTTATTCAGAAAGCACAGATGTTTAAATATATGCGTCTATTTGTTAGCAAAGGCTCTAGGAAAGTATAGTTATTCTCATCTTAGGCTTGACCCTGAGGTTCTAGCCACTTTTTACCGGCCCTCAGTGTACATTGGTTATTGCCTGGCCACCCTTATAAAAGTTTTCTAGCTACGCCTCTGTATGTTCTTTTTTGCAATAATAAAAATAATAATAATCATAATAAAGTTGCAAAGAAAAATGAATCCAAATTCTCCAAAAACTGAATAAATGAAACCAAGGGCGTAGGTTTGATTTGAACTTTGGTAGGGACACTATCAGTCGGTTGTCATTGGTGCTATGCAATATGCATGTCCTTTTTTATGCACGGTGTGAGCATCTGTACTGATAAGAGGAATTCATTGTTAAAAGAGAAAAGCATCATTTTGCTACATTAATAAAAATTGTATAAGCACTACACTCATTAGATGCTGTTTATTAATGTTTGAAGTATCACCGGCTCTGATCAATGTGGAATTAGGACTGTTTTCCACTTTGAATATGGTTTCATTTGAACGACTAAGAGAGAAGGTAAATACAGTATTTTCTTCTGAAGATATAGAATTGTGCAGGGTTAAACCCCACTCTTATATTTTTACCTACTATTCTCTCTCTGTATCAAGCAAAAATAATACATTCATTAAAATATTAACTTCACTATAAAAGTGGAACATCTGGGCTGTAGTTACTCTGTGTAGCCCATTTCATGTATTTTATCTGGGACTGAAAAAATGAATCATATTAATTGATTATTTCAATAATCGTCAACTAATTTAGTGAGTGATTCATCATTAACTGGAGAATAGAGACTCTTAAACATAATAAAAATGTAAAATATGCCTTTCTCCGACAGAGCAACCCACTTAGATCAGTAATTATACCAACATTTTAAAAATACAACATATATATATAATATATAAGATAAAAAAATGTTTTTGTCTGTCAATATTCTTCATCCAGAACTCATCAAGAGGAAATATTTTAGTATTACCTGGTTTATTTAGACATCACCTGAAGCACTGAAGGGCCAGCTGCTTCACCTACAAGCTGCCCTGCATCTTTATTACTGGATATCTGTGTTTCCTATAATCATATAATGTATAAGTACATTTTTAATAGTAAAGGATTAAATGTAACACAACCTTTTATCATCGTCCTATATTGCTTACTGTCTGACTGTTTAAATAGCTCCTTATGTATATTTTCTTTTTTAGTAGCATCATCTACAAACACAACACTGAGCACGAGCCTAAGTGTATTAAAATATAAAATCACTTTTATCAATTATAAAAGACAATATAACACTATCTTATCTGTAATTTAATAATATCCAAAACAAACAGTCAGATTCAAGCATTTTTACCAGACATTAATGTTAGTACTAATTTACTTGTGTGGAAATCTATGTAAGATAAAATCAATGTTAATATTCTTCCTCTGTTTGTTCTTGTCTTTATCCTATTTCTAGAAGTATAAATAGTCAATTAAAATATTATTATTATGTGGAACCCTAATTATGCTTTTTAAACAAAAAATAGCAGATGTTTAGGCACCATTTCTTGTTGTTATAGGCTACTCTATAAAAGAAATAACACCTGCTAATAATTATACCTGAAAGAGTAATCAAAAAATGAAAACAGTAATAGCAACTAAATATCGGTAAAAAGGAAACCCTCACATTTTCTTTCTTAATTGGCTGTGGCTAAGAATCAGAAATGTTGATGGCTTACAGCCTTTATTTGCCAATTTTTCCAGCAGTCGTCAGAACTCCTGGCTGACTCAGAATATTTCGTTTTAAAAAAGAAAAAAAAAGGTTTTTGTTTTGTAGTGCACATGATATTCCTTTTTTTTTTTAATTGGGACTAGTTTTGCAGCCTAATATTAATTGTAGTAACCGCGGCATTCTAGTGTGAATAAATTTTCAATTTTGTGCTCCAAGTACAGACGGACTAGAAAACAGCCTATCAGAGAGAGAGAAGGCGGGACCTAAAGCAGAACAACCAATGAGAGTGGAGTTAAACAGCGCAGCACAGTTCCATGCGCTGCTACGTGAAAGGGACAGGAGAGAGCAGGCAGAGGAGCTGCGAGAGGAAAAGAAGCCACTGCTGCAACAAGTACTGCTGTAAATTATAAACATGTTGCTCACATCCAATTATTGGTAGGGACAATTAGGACGGTTCAAAATTTTGGTAGGGACATGTCCCTATGGTCCCTATGCAAACCTACGCCCATGAATGAAACTTATTTAGTGGTATAAATCCTGCAGCGCATGTTGTAAAGCCATCACGTACTTCCTGGAGGTGTTTCGTTGCCCGGCTGACAGCCTCTTCGTACCCGGACTGCCTCAGCTCGCTCAGGCTCTCATAGTACTCATCCGGATCGTCGTTCTCGGTGAACAGAACCCCGGACAGGATCTTCCACCCGCAGGTATCGAGCGCGTGACCGAGGTACACCTGTAAGCCGCGGCACAGCTCGTCCATCTCTGTCTCCGGCACCTCCTGCGGGCCGAACAGGACCGTCCACATCCCGGCTGGCTCCTCCGGGAACACCGGCAGGTAGGGCTCCAGCACCGAGTTGACGGAGCACAGCTGCAGGTGGATGGCCCGCAGGTCCTGGAAGGAGAACAGCCCTGCCCAGCTGCAGTGCTCTCTGGCCGGGCTGTCCATCGCCTCAAGCTCCAGGCTATCCAGTGAACAGAGGGACAGCTGCTCCTCTGGCTCCTCGTCAGGAGGCGCTCTCCTCGCCTTTGTTAGGGGGGTGCATCCTTTGCTTGGACTCCGGGACACTTTCTCCCTGACGGGACTTCCAGGCCACCTTGTTTTGTCCCCATGGGGCTCCAGAGGGTCCCTGCCAAAGCTTCTCTGAACCGTCCTATCGTGGCACGTGATGGCAAATTTACCCTCCACATCATTCCAGGCGACCATAAAAACTAATTTATGTTTCTCCTTTTCCTCAAACGCATTGGGGCGGACGGCTACCCACCCCGACTCTAAATTATCCTCCATAGTGAATGACATTTCTGACACTAAAATAAACCAAAAATAAATAAAAACTGGTTAAAACACTGCAGAAACAGAGGCGTAGTCAGGCGGTGATCATTACATCTTGGAACAGAATCAGCCTATCCTCTCCAGGGATGCATATCTTCCAGCAGGGCGGGCAGTATTTCACTTGCATTTCTGGCCCACCTGCCTCTAACTCTGTAATTCCGCCTCCTTTAGCTTTGTTTTTAGCTCCACTTTGCATTATATGTTTACCAGCAGACCAGCGCACTGTCCGCAGCAGCAGCCTCCGAGCTGCGTCCCGTTAACCCTCCGTCCCTCTGCTCCGGACCTCCCCGATAACCATGAAGCTAAAACAGGAGGCTACATGGTGGAGAAACACGCATAGGTGGGATGTTTGTCCCGCTGTGCTGCAGGAGAGGAAAGCATCTTCTCCAAACTGACAGCAGCGGCAAGTCCGACTTTATTCCTTATTATTTGCGCACAGACCAGAAGGATGCTGCGTTAAGATGCTTCCGGAAATATGGGACTTAAGTTAAGAATTCTCGTTCACATAGAATAATAAGCCAGAATATTATGTTTTTTATGCATTGAGTATTTACAACAATCATATTAGTTTTTGTTACAATGAAATATGAATTTGAACAGAAATAAACATTTTGAACATACGAAAGGAATTTTGTTTAGAAAGCATTTGAACGCAACAATTGAATCTCGACGTATCCAGAGCACGTAAAGACGTGCCTACGTCAGTAATGTGAGCTTTATATCCACAAAGCTGTGAGTTTGGCAGGCCATTTTGATATTTATTAGCGTGACTGAATATAAATGAATTTCTTCCTAGTCAAAATGAACATTTCAGGTATCTAAAATAACATCCCTCCTATCTAAAATAAACATTTCAGATATCTTAAATGTAATTCTTACTAGTAAAAATGACGTCACGTCTCCCATTCATGTGTATTTTGTTTTTAATTCCATAATAAACATTCTTCCTATCTAAAATGAATTATGACTAGGATGAACTCTAATTTTAGATCTCCATAATAGATTTACTGCAAGTCAAAATTACTATTTCGGATATCTAGAAATACTATTCTTGACATCTAAAATATATTTCTGCTAGTAGAAATATAATTACAGATATCAACTACTTATGTAATGACTAGTTGAATTAGAATTCCAGATATCTCAATTTTTAATAATGCCTATCTAAAATTTAGTTTCAGATACTTTCAAAAGAATAATTAGGCTCCGTTTTAACATAAAATAAGCAAACTGACTAGTCACATTTCTATTATAGATAGCACTAAAGGATTCTACCTAGTCACAATTACAATGCTTCTTGTCAGAACTGTATTTTAGATATCACTAATTACATTTCTATCTGTAGAAATTAAAGTATAAACTACATTTCAGATATCTGAGCTGTAGTTCTTATTAGCACAAATTTAATTTCTACTGTAATTTCTAATGTCAGTAAAATTTGAATTGGTTGTTTGTTAGCAAGGTCGAATAAATGCTGTGAAGGATCTCTAAAAAATATATTTTTTTCACTTATAAAAATCTAAAAATGTATAAAATCACATTAAAACTTTTTTTTACTTCACAAAGTAAACCGTCTGTATTAATGTATTTAATGCTGGGATCACCAATATTTTTCAAAGGCTTAGAGCTGATTTGTGGGTGTTGAGTCATAGGAAGGGCTGCCAACCTAAAGTTCATTCGTAATAAAAATGTTTTTATTGTTTCTTTACATTTCTCTCTTTTTTTTTAAGATATTGTTATTCTGAAATCTCTACAAATGCAAGTGTCACTAAAAAACAAGTGCAACATCATGAAATAACATTTTAAACTTAGCCCACTGGTGAGCTGTGCTGTTTTCAGAAAAAAACCAATAAAAGAAAAAAATATTACAGGATCACTAAAAGCTACATGTCATATTTCAGAGTCTTTTACAGAGTTGTAGCTTTTCTTGCTTATCTGTGACATTTTTCAACATTTCAAGATGAAACAGAAAAAAAGCAACATCAAGCTGCAATTTTTTGGAACATTTTAAATACATAAAGACACAAAGCAAAGTGGCAGCATACGTGATTGTGCTATTTATGGCATCAAATAAAACCTTAAATTATTTAATTTTACTCCAGAAAGCTGTTCAGTTTGGGATCTTCCCTCTAACCTTTAATTTAGTGCTCTCAGTTTTGTCTTGCAACTAAATTCTCTATCTTTGTTATTTAAAAAAATAATTAGATGACATTAAACCTCAATGCATAGTGAGATTAGATGTGAAAGACCAACACAAAGTGATATAAATTGGATGATTTCCATTTCATTCATTCTACCTACTTTGTAGAAGAAATTAAATGTTGTATCCTTTCATTTCAAAATAGCTTTAAATCAGTCACATTGGAGGGGGAGTTTCAATAAATATCAATTTCCTGTTTGTTTCAACAGATTCAAAATTAGATTTAAGGCTAAACATCGACTACATTATTGTAGCTCAGAAAAAGGTGCAACAGGGATGTGGCGTTCAGAGGAATACGGCACTTTCCTAAAGACCAGAGTTGCAGAGTGAAGGACTGAAACGACAGCTTCTTACCTCTACTTTCTTTCTTTCTTTGATGCAGAAGCTGAATCACCTTTATTTAATGCAAACTGCACTCCTCCCTCTAGGGCTTGAAGGGGGCAATGTGCTATTTGTAGTGGATCATTACATTCAACAAGACTTTCTGAAAAGAATGTGATATCTTTTGTAACTGATTTTAAACTATCAACAGGCAAATACAGCTTTATGACATTTAAAGGGAAAGAATATATATGGGGAAATAACATAATGGGATGGGAAGCGAAGCGTCTTCAAACTTGGAAACAAAGTCCAGTGGATTGTTTTAACCTTTTTTGGAATGACTATGACCTGGATGACTGATAATCTTCACTAGAATATTTAAAAGCATATCAGATCTGTTTTAAAGCAGAGTTGTTAGCAGGTATAATAAACTGAGAGCAATCAGATGAGGGTTGACCAGACATGTGGCCACGAGCACCTACTCAAAGGCAGTAAGATACATTATAGAGATGGTAGGCAAGCACAGAAAACCAACTTTTCACCAAACCTTAGGGTGAGATTTTGAAATAGTTTGGACAGGAAACTCTCTCAGGGTTAGATGAGAACAGGTGCAGCTATAGGTTGGAGGTTTTCAGAGGATTTAACTGAAACAAAGTGGCAAAATGTGGAATTTTTATAAAATAGTAAATGTTACTTAGTAACAATAAGTGATCCATAGTCATGTGGAACATTTTTCTCAAAATATACATTATTTTCTTCATTCTGGTGCTTTTTAGAGAACTAAAGTAAAGCAGGATGGGCCCTACTTAAATACTTTCATCTTAAATATTCTTTAAACTAAAAATGTCACAACTTTGTTCATTAATTATTCTCTGCAGTTCAAGTAAATAAAACTATCGGGAACTAATAATCTATTACTGGATTACTGGCATTGATACAGGAACCAGTGTATTCGAAACCTATGCAAATTCCACTGTGTTAGAGTATTTGGTAATAGGCTAAGGATTAAAAATCTTCATTCATTATGTTATTAGGTTTTCTTACAATTGACAAAACAGGTAAACAACTCAGGTTTTTCTAGGAGGCTGTAGATTTTATAAAAAAACTCGCCATGACAGGAGGCTGCACTTTTCTGGATGTTTCAGTTTGGAAGGTGTGATGGAAATGGACCAAAATAAAGATAAATGAATAAGATAAGTAATAATAAAAGAAGAACATCCCTGTGGTTTCTCCTCTATGAATCCAGGATAACTGAGCTGTTCTGGACATCCTCTCTGGATGTGGTTGGTCTTTTTTTGGCTGGCTGATCTTTTGAAAAATAAAATGCAATGATTCTTTTTATTTTTTGTGGAGCATTTGAGAGGCAAACCTGGAAGCTTTAAAATATTAATTAAATTAATTAAAATATTTGTGTTGGTTTATTTACTCTTAAATTCCAACGGGAGATTATTAAACTACTGAGTTGAGTTTTAATGTCTGTCATTTTTAGTGTGAGAAATTGTGAATATGGAGTGAGAGTGTGTTAAGACACTGAGATGGGTGAGTCTCACTCCCAATGGGTGAGAGCTGACGGCCCTGCATTAGGTTATATTAGGACGTTCAGTTTTGTTAGTTACTGGCACATGAAAGTGTAAAGAGTAATTCAGGGGCAAATAATTTAACTAAAAGGGCTTTGACAGAGGAGTCAAAAATAAATACTGAGTACTGAAGGGGAAATTATTAAAATCTTTATTATTAGGCGATAATTTTTCGTGTTTTACATTTTTACAAAACTAATACATTGGGTGGAAGAGCTGCACACCTACGCGCAGTAGGTGGCGCTGTGTCCATAGAAGCTGTTTGCAATCTACCAATTTAGGAAAGAAGAAGAACTCTCACTTCCTGGCGGGATTCAAACAGCTCATCCAAAACCGGAGCTTCTCGTTCAGGAAGGCTGTTTTTTGTCCTGCTGCGACTCGAAGGTAAAGTTTCCTGTTGTTGGATAATGACCAGAGGATGTGGCTGAAGATCACCGACCTGTTTTAAGGTGGTTTGACCTGAAATAACGGAAGGTATTTGGATGATGAGTAGCGGTGGTCTTTAGTAACGGAGTTATAATCCAGGTGTTATGTTAATCCCGAGTTCATCAACAGCTCACAAAAAACAAAAACACAGTCAAATTACCCGCAAAGCTTAGTGTTAAAAGTGACTAATTGACTAAAACTCAGAATAACGATGATATAACTATATATTTTATAGTTTTATGTTGTAATTCTATGTTATGAAAAACAGAATAACATTCATTCATCGTTTATACTTGAAAACTAATGCTATTATTTGACCTAGGACTGAAACAGCAAAATAAAATTCAAGATGTTCAATTCGACTCGAGATTAAATAATGTGCTAGAAAAAAAAATTAGATTAGAATAGCAAATCCCTTTATTGTCCCACAATGGTGTTTAAAACAGCAAGAAGATTATAGAAAAACTGGTCACACAAATGTGGAACTTAGAAAAATGATTAAGGAATATAATAATTATAGGGAATAGTTAAAAAAAAAAAAATAATATAGAGTCCTGTAAAGTGTTTTAACAATATAAATACTCGGCACGTGGAGAATAAATAACCAATTACTCAGTTTCTGGAATTGAAAAAAGGATGTGATTTCCATCACAGTGAAACAAATTGGCAGACATATTTAATAAAATGAAGCAAAGAAAAGTATAGATTTGAATATGAAAAAGAGCAAAAATGAGAGTTTCTATAATGACATGTTAGTGAGATGGATGCGGTATGTGTATGCGGCTTCTTATTAAACCCATTTTAACATTTTGATCTCATCTTTTTTTCCACCATCCTAGGGATCAGGACACATGTTTTCTTGGATGTTTCCCGTCAGTGAATATTTTTTTCTCTCTGATCGTGATCCTACTGACTGTGGCTGGTTTGGTTCTGGCTGGACGTCGCAAACATGGACGCCTCTGATCAGATGAACGAACCTATCAATCAAAACGATGGTCTGGCTGCTGAGGCCTGCACACAGAAAGGCACCTCACCTGCAGACATGCTGAGGTCACATCCTCGTCTTAAACTTCTCACAATTCTGTTAAAAGCAACATTTTAACCCTTGAGTAAAGTGTTGATCTCTTATAACAATTACAGGATCAAACAACAGATGTCTAACCACTGCTTTGAGATGAGTGTGCAGCTCAATGCAGGTAGATAACAAGCCTAAATGTTGTATGAAATGATTAAGTTCACACAGTTAATTTGAAGCTTAACCATCACAGGGAAAAGTAAGCGGTCCTGCAGCGCATCTGAAGCAGAAAGAGGGTTGTAAGTATTTAAAAAGCTTTTTTAAATCTGGTACTAAAAGTAAAATCAGATACAGTATTGAAATAAAACTTAAGAGCTGCATATATTGCAGGCCAAACTACATATCTGAGCTTGAACGTGTGAAGATGGTCCATTTTAACAGCACCCTGGCATTGCACAGGTGGGTTATGCACAGACACTTTACTTAAAATAAAAGCAAAGTTTTGAAGCCGATTCCTTTATTTGTGCTCTGTAGGATGCAGATGTGGCACGCCATTGGTGAAAAACTTAAGCAAACAGATCCAGATGCAGCGTAAGTCAGTAAAATCAATGCTGTTTAGCTGTTTTTTTCCCTCCTATTATTTTTGCTTGTGTCAAACATCTGTTTCTCTTAGTGCCCTGATGGCTGTGGGGGATCGCTGTATGGTTCTGTGCTCCAAGATAAAAGAACTTCAGAATGTATGTTTTTTTTTTGTCTTTTTTTTTCTGAACTAAACCTTCCTGCACGCTACTCTGGGTTTTCTACACAATCTTTTTAATAAAGAGCTAATTATGGAAGTAATACGGTCCTAAAGGCTGATATGCTATTATTATAAACTTTTAAAAAGTTTAAGACGATACAACATATGGCTTATTTCATACAAGTTCAGTAACGTGTGCTTTAAATGGAAAACTTCATTAAAATGATTTCACACCAAAGCTCTTCCTACTTTTCAATAGGAAAACCGGAATCTGCAAGAAAAAATTACAGAAATACAGAAGAAGAGACTGGGTATGCTTTACAAATTCCTCATTTCAGTATTTCCTGCTTGGCTCAAAACAGGCCTCTTGTACAGTCTTGGACAAAAATAGAATATCTACCTTGTTCACTTGTATTTTTATCTGTTCATCCACCATGCTTTCTATCCACCATCTCCTAGATCATCCATGTTTTTGTTCATCTGTATATCTGTATTTTGACCATTCCTAAAAAATGTGATTTAGTTTTAAGGGTTCGTTTTGAGCCTTTGTTTTAATACATAAATTATGATTTAAAAAGCTACAATAATTATTTTTATGTATTAAGATTATGGCATTTATAGGGGGGATCACATTTAATTAGTGTTTATTATAGCTTTCTTTAACTTTTTTTTTTTTTTTTGGTGCAGAATTGAAGCGACTCACAGATGAAAAAATGAAAGAAGTGGAGGAATTAATGTCCAACAAAGAGCATCCAGACTCAGAAAAGTACAAAACCTTGCTGGAGAAAGGTCAAGCAACCCTGGAGAAATATAAAAAGATGACCACAATGACACAGAATGTCCTAAGGGTAAATGACACTGAAATACACATATAATTTTCATCTGTAACATTAATATTTACTTTATAAGTCTATTTACGTTTTTGTTTTCTCCTCTTAGGGCATCCTGTTAGCATGTAAAGTCAACTGGCTGGATGATCCAAAACTTCGGGAAACTGCCCTAACCCTGGAGGATTTCCCCATCTCTGATTAGAGCATGAAATATTAATCTAAGCTAAATATTTTTGTTTTTTTCTGTTAAATAAAAAATGCACTTCTTAAATCCTTGGCGTCCTCTTAAAAATAAGCTGCCACTAGAGGGTAGCATTGAGCTCTCAGATTTTAAGACATCCTGTCGGTGAAGAAGAAAAACACACGTGTGGTTAGAGTAGTTTTTAAAACCTGTTAAAATCCTAAACAGTTTGAGCTATTTGGCTGCATTTTAAGGAGAATAATGCCAAAGATTAAGGCAGAGAAGAAAAGCAGACAACACCAAGATGTTAAAAGCCAAGGTAGGTTATTGTGAGCGCTAGCTTAGCTTTAGCATGTTAGCAAACATTGCTCTCCCAGCTGCTTATACTCCAGCAAAGGTTATGGCTGTACTATTTTAGTGCTAACTGTATTTAAATGATCATCTGAACACTAACAATGCATGGCTTCCTTAATGTTTTCTCATCCTTTATATTACATGTTGAAAAGCAGCTTTTATAAGTCTAACAATGAACCTTAATATTAGAGTAGAGTTTATAAGCTTTAGGAAAGGATTGTTTTCCAAACTTAAAATCCGATTAGGACGTGATAACTGAAGGGTTGAAATTAAATTTTTTTTTTTTTTTTTAAATATAAATTACCCATAGATGTTTTATTTAGAATAGAAACCTCTTTATTGTTCCACAGTGGGGAAATTCTGCTGTTACAGCAGAAATATAGAAAAATTATCACACAAATGTGGACCTTTAGAAAAGTGTATAAAAATAAAATAATAGTGAGGAGTAAAAAAAAAAAAAAAAATACTGAACTGTAAAGTGTTTTAATATAAAACTGCACCTGGAGAATAAATAACCAATATACAGCTATGGACATTTTTACAGTAATGCTATTTGAAAATAGCAGCAACATCAGAGATGTGCAAAATAAAAGCAGCATGTTATTTAACTAAGTTAGAAACTGCAAAAATCAGCAGGAATGTAAAAACTTATTCAGGTTGTTGGGAGCAGTGATGTTTATTTAGTCTTAGAGCTGCTGGAAGGAAGGATCTGTGATAACACTCCCTGGTGCATTTAGGGTGCATTTATCCACACTGTAATTCACTATTCATCTATTAAACTTTAATTCATCCATGTATATTTATTTTTCAATGAATCCTTTTGTGAATTATGGATTTTCATCCATCCTACAATGCATCACTCCACCTCAGCATTTTTAAAATATCAAGTATTATTTTATATTTTAATTTATTCTCCTTCCACTAATCCAGCAATTCATCCAACAGATAATACATCCGTCCATAAAGCTGTCTGCCTATCTATATACATAGATCTCCTTATTTACCTAAATCTGTCCGTTCAGCCTCAGATCATGTCCTAACACCCCTGTATGGCATAAAGGACTCCTCTCCACCATATAAGCTCTCATTGATGTATTTGGTGTCTGTTGCAGGGATCATGTTCAACACTGGCATTGGTCAGCACATCTTGAAGAATCCATTGATCGTCAACGGTATAATCGAGAAGGTAGGATTAGTTGTAGTCACCCAGTAAAGGAAAGTCCTGCTCTGACATGTTTGCTGGCTTATGAGAGTTGGGTAGTAAACATATCAGTATCAATTACACATCCTGATCATAGAATAGCTCTGTATAGGGTAAATACATTTTTTTTAGAAAGCTGGGTTTTGCAAAATGCTTAAAACAATTCAAACATTGTTTTAATTAAATTTTTGTGTGATGATCCATGGTTGTTTGACAATGACTGCACAGAAACTACAAACAAGCAGAAGAATTTTCTCAACTAAACTTGTCTGTTTCAGCCAGACTCTTTGGGTTCGGCTAAGCAGAATAGCAGGAGCATTAATGGACAGATGCAAAATAAAGCTAAAGGATCCGTGTCAAGTTAAGGATGAAATGATTTCTGAATCCATTCTTTGGTTTAACAGTCTAGAAAAACAGGATTATCCTGGAAAAGTTCAGTCCTTTTTGTCTACAGCGTCCAAAAAGGGAAACTTGTATATCGATTTATTACGCAAAAAAAAATGCAACACTTCTTAAGTCTTATTTACTTGTAGTGCTGGATTTTTGTGGCTTTCAGATTATGGAAATCCTTGAAAAAATTTGATATTTGAAAGGCATGGTGTTATTACTTTATCGGCTAATTGACTCAAAACACATGCAAAGTTTGTGAGCCTCTAAGTGGTGTTGGTCAGTGGGCGACACATCCAGGGGAAGACTGCTGATTGGACAAATGTCCAGAAGATGGGAAGTGACATCCTCCAGTGGGAGGGGAAGCATAGAAAGGTATCTGCTTCTGTAATACTGTGTTCAGACTTTTATTTAACTCCACAATGATAGAAAGTTTAGTGGAAGGAAAATAGGATCCAGCAACAGGGATAATCACTAACCTGACAACAGCCAGATGCATGTCTCGCTCCGCCTAGCTCCACTCACATACATCTGGGAACCCGCTCATTGAAAGTGATTTCCCAAACCGAATTTATGGTCTGTCCAATCAGGACACAGGGCGGGTGTGTCCTGCATGTGACGTAGTGGAGAAGCGAGTTCTGTAAGTCGTTCTTCTATACTTTTTTGGTTGGCTTCTTTTTAAAAATAAGTCTGCTGTGCACAATGTTGCCTTTTATCCGCACATTTTCATGGCACAAACGACATTGATTATTTACCAACATTGCGCTGATTCCACTGTTGCTATATCCAAGATGTCGGCTGTTCTGTTTTGTTTTTTTTCCTGCGTAGCTCTCACAGCGTCACGGGTTAGCTTCGGTGTGAGTGGTTGAAATAGCACGTCGATAAAAATGACAGACAAGTGGCTTATCCAATCATATGCAAGGAGTTTTGATAAGGCCCAGCCTTCAGTAAAGGCAATTCTTATGGCGGGTTCCCAGATGTATGTGAGTCGAGCTAGGCGGAGCGAGACATGCATCTGGCTGTTGTCAGGTTAGATAATCACAGCCTTATAAGTGAACTTTCAAGCTAAATGCATTTGGATGAGCTTCACAGCAGCTGGATGGAGGCTGATGCTTCAGGCGCCCAGCACATGTTCTAAAAGCACCTCACCAAATCAGCTGGGCCATCAGCGGTCCATTCCACCGTTCACCGTGGACTTTGGACCCAGAAGCTGTTTCAGTGTCGAAACCCCAACAAGAATCTATGAAGTTATGGAAAAAGGAAGATGAGAGACACCAGAACCAACACTGTAGATGACCTGAAGGTTACAAAGCTACCTGGGCCTCAATTACACTGCAGCAGAACCTAATGCTGATCACTTCTATGCACTTCTATTTGATTCAACCATGTATTGATTACATAGAAGAAAATACAAATCGTTTTTACTGTGTAATAAGTCTATATTATATAGGTTTCACTTTTGTTTATCTGCTAAGTTATTATTTTCGTAGGCGAACATGAGATCAATCTGCTTTGAACGGCAGCTAAACTAAACGACATGGTACCATGGACCAATGTTTCTGTCTCTACACATGAAGAACCCTCTGAACTGTCCCATCCAGGTGTTTCTTCCGTTAATGATCGCAGCTCACCTGTAATGTACCTGATTTTTCAGGCTGCCCTCAGGCCGACAGATGTGGTTCTGGAAGTTGGACCCGGTACTGGAAACATGACTGTAAAACTGCTGGAAAAGGCAAAGAAGGTGAGGCTCAATGTTTGTTTGTTTTTATTTTATTTTAGATTAGAAGGTTAGACATTTCAAAAGACAACAGGAGTAGAGGTTCAGTTTCCTGTAATACAACGACCCCAAACACAAAGTTTATAAGAATGATCCAGTCAAAGTCTAGATCTAAAGACATTTAAAAGTTGTGTCCTACATTCGACTGAAATTGTTACGTTTACTAAAAAAACAAAAAAAACAAAACAAAGACAAATCACACTCTGTTCCAATAAAACACGAAACATTTATCATATGAGAGGTATTTCATACTGTGGTCTTCCAGGGGTTTGTTTCATCAGTAGAAACCATCCAGCTGCTGTCTTTGTTGTGCAGGTGGTGGCCTGTGAGTTGGACTGCAGATTGGTTGCTGAGCTTCAGAAACGAGTGCAGTGCACGTGAGTGATGAACGCAGTCTGTGCTGAAGCACATTCGATATAGAGGAGCGTAAAATGAAGCTTAAAGGATCTTTTTTTCTGAACAGGCCTTTGCAGAACAAGCTTCAGATATTAGTCGGCGACGTCCTAAAAACAGATCTCCCTTTCTTTGATGTCTGTGTGGCTAACTTGCCTTACCAGGTAAATACGCTTCATTCCTTTCATAAGGATTTTGTTGTTTTTATCTCTGTGTCACCTTGTTGCTCTCTTGTGCAGATTTCCTCACCGTTTGTCTTCAAGCTCCTTCTTCACCGACCGTTCTTCAGGTCAGACGGAGCGGACTCTCACCAGATGTAGCCATGTTCTCCACACTGGGTGCTAAAGTTCTTCTTTGTGTCCTTCCGCTCAGGTGCGCTGTGCTGATGTTCCAGAGAGAGTTTGCCATGCGGCTGGTAGCCCAACCTGGAGACAAGCTGTACTGCAGGCTGTCTATCAACACACAGCTGCTGGCCCGCGTGGATCACCTCATGAAGGTCAGCAGGGAGATGCTTCAGCTTCATTTACATGTTCATGTACACGGTGTTGGAGGAATCTTTGTGTTGTTCCTCCCAGGTAGGGAAAAACAACTTCCGTCCTCCGCCTAAAGTGGAGTCGAGCGTCGTCAGGATAGAGCCCAAAAATCCTCCTCCTCCTATTAACTTTCAGGTGAGCTTCCACTTCCTCTGGTCCGTCCTTTGGTGAATTACTCTGCCTTAAATGTTGCCATTTCTCTCTGTAACAGGAGTGGGACGGTCTGGTGAGAATCGCCTTCGTACGGAAGAACAAAACCCTCAGTGCGGCTTTTAAGTGAGCAACAGCTTGCTAGTAGCAAACCTGCGACTTGTGGCTAAAAGCAGATGATCTTACCTGAATCGTCTTTTTTTATTTTTTTTTTAGGTCTACTGCAGTGGAGCAGATGCTTGAGAAGAACTACAGAATACACTGCTCTCTGCATAACATAGTAAATACAGCAGAAAAAAATGATCCGGCTTCAGTGGAATCATCTGGTCCATCATCTAAATCCATTCCCTCCATCTTTACAGGAAGTTCCAGCTGACTTCAGCATCAGCAAGAAGATCGACAGCGTTCTGCAGGAGGCTAACTTCAACGAGAAGAGGGCCAGGTCCATGGATATCGATGACTTCATGGTGTAAGTTCTCTCATCCTATCCTGTTCTGTTCTTTTGTCAGGACTCCCAAGGCAGTCATTTTGACAGTTCAGAGATTTTTCTGTGGAAGAACTTTTTTTTTACATTAATCGTATGTTCACTGACCTTTTCTGTTTCTTTATTTCCTTTATTTTCACAGTTTTTTTATGAAATAAAAAGCTAAAAAATAAATATGGTTTATTTCACCTCGATCTTCCACAGCCGTCATTTTTAACGGATCTATTAGTTGCATTGTAAATTCTTTCTGCGGTTAATTGATCAGTACCGTTACCTAGCAACCAACATTCTAATACAGAAAAATTGATGATAGCGTTTCGGGCGGAGATGAAAGACCGATGATGACAACCGGTCGGTAGGAAGCGGCCCAGATTCTGACAGCGAGTCTGAGCCGCTAATCTCAGCGCCTTTGGCCTGTAGCTGTCTTTTACAATCTCCTGGACGTAGCAACTATAAACACGCTGGATTTGTTCAGGAGCTGTTTGAACGCCGCCGTCTCACGCAGAGAGTTTATTCTTTAACTGGTAGAACAGTTGCATGCCAACCGCATACGCTCCAGAGAGCCTCAAGTTACCAACCCCTCAGCTCCAGTAGAGCCAGCTTTGGCGAGGGAATCAGTTGATGACATCATTACTACTCTTGCATTCCAAAGGGAAAAATGTCACCTGTCAAATTGCCTGCCAACAGGATTTCTAGTGTAAAAACAAACACCAAGATCCTTTTTTTGAACTGTGTTTTTTTCCTACTCAGGCTGCTGCATGCATTCAACGCTGCAGGAATCCACTTCTCATGAAGAGCAGAACCGTAAATGAATAAAACTAATGGACTCATCTAACATCTTCTACAGATGGTCTACCAAGACATGGATTTCCATAAATGGTGAATGTTTGAATGGAAACTTGCTGCGGCTCATATTGAGCACGGTTTTAAGCTGGATGTATAACGAAGGCATAGAGAACCCTTTGGTCAGAGGAGATGAGTAATTTATGGAAAACATACACCAGCTTTCTCATGTTCCTCAGTTTGAAGTCTATTGAAATAAATTCTGCATCAACAACGTTTTAATAAAACCGGTCTTTTTTTTGCTGCGTTATTATAGAGAAATGAATCAAACATGTATAAGTGGTTCCTGCGCAGCATTAAAAAGTATGGAGTTGGATTTAATCCTTTGTGCCAGTTGTGTGGATAACAGTTTCCTTTTTTTTTTTTTTTTTATAGGAAATGATCAAAATCTGAAAATAAACTGGAAATAAAAGCATTTTAAAAAGACTCCAATTTTAACTGGCCCACATGTTTTCTAATTGGAGCCCAAAGCACTGAAAATATCTGCTGCTCAAATGACCTATAATTCTCAGATAATCCTTTCTTTATATTTCTATTTTTGTTCAAATAAATGTATAAAACACTTAATACTGTAGCAGGTCTTGACTAGATTTACCAGATGGGTTTTTCTTTGGTGGCTCAAAAAAGATGAAAATAACAGGCTAATAGTTTATAGTCAAAGATCCACTTTCATCTCCCTGATTCAGCAGATCTTATCTCAATGTGGCTAAAGCTGACAGTGAGATACCTTAATGGAAGGGTTTTGGATACAAAGCTGGAGAGGTGCTTAAATATGTCAACTTATTAAAAAAACATCACCTAATTTCAAACAAATTTGTTACCAAATAAGTGTCTTAATTTTTTTTTTATACAGAAATACAATCTGTTCAATTCAATGTGGACAGATTCAAGGTCAATACATCTATTCATTGTGATTTAGTTTATTTAAACTGATAAAAAAAAAAAAAAAAAAACCTACTTTTCTAGACCTAAGGTGATTCTACCATTAAAAATAAAATATAAAAATGTGCTATAGACATTTGCACAGTCTGGTTTTTAACTATGGAAATTCGCCCAAAGAAAAGTTGGATGACTGCATGTTTAAAGGAATAGTACACCCAAAACATGATTAGCCTTCATTTTCTACTCACCCCCATGCTGAACAAAACTCTGGAGTACTTTTTTGATATCTCAAATGCATCTGGAGATCTGGGAGGCTTCTTGCTGTCTGCTGACATTCAAATAATGGAGGTCTATTGTGCCCGAGACAGAAAGGTCCACAAAAGTCCACAAAAACGTGTCAATATTCCTCCATACTGCTCGTCCAATGTAATCCAAGTGTCCTGAGTGGGTAGCATCCAGAATTTACTCGAAACGAAGTCATTTAGAACGTTTTAGAGCCTAAACAGTAGTGTATAGGATTTCCTAATAGCGCCCCCATGCGCGCTCACGATTCTACGGAAGCCGGCAGACCAAACCGGAAGGAAGTGCGCATTCAGCGTCTGCTCTGCCGATAATGCAAGCGTAGAAGAAGAAATGTGCTGTTTACCTGTGCAAAGAAAGAAACAACGAAAGAAAAATGTCTGAGGACTTCAGTGTTGAGGAAGAGCATGAGTTCTTTGCCGAGCTGAATGCGCTGGTTTGGTCTGCCGGCTTCCGTAGCGCCGTGAGCGCGCATGGGGGCGCTATTAGGAAATCCTATACACTACTGTTTATGCTCTAAAAACATTCTAAATGACTTCGTTTCGAGTAAATTATGGACGCTACCCACTCAGGACACTTGGAATACATTGGACGAGCAGTATGGAGGAATATTGACACGTTTTTATGGACTTTTATGGACCTTTCTGTCTCGGGCGCCATAGACCTCCATTATTTGAATGTCAGCAGACAGCAAGAAGCCTCCCAGATCTCCAGATGCATTTGAGATATCAAAAAAGTACTCCAGAGTGTTGTTCAGCATGGGGGTGAGTAGAAAATGAAGGCTAATCATGTTTTGGGTGTACTATTCCTTTAATAGATGGATGCATAGTTGGTTAGATAACAGATTAATATGTTTAGATCATTTTCCATCAAATTTTATCTTCCTTTCTTTATCAACCTATTAAATTTTAAAATCCATTATCTCCATATAACTGGTTGCCTTAGCTAAGACGGTAGATGGCGATAAAGAGTCATGATGGCCCCAACCTGCATGCTGGAAATTTGACCTTATTTAGTTCCATTTCAAAATAAAAGTCCACATAACTGGACATCTATTTACATTTTACACATGGATAGAGTACAAAGTCTCTATAAAAAAAAGGGAAATCAGACAACTGAATATGTTTAGATGCAAAAAAACTTTTTATTATAATTTGCCATAAAATGTTTCATTTTCTCATGCAGCTTTGGCAAAACTATAATAAAATGTACCAAGACCAGGATAAGTTGTGCGGTACAGACCAGATTCACAAGGTCTGTGTTGATAAGATGGAATTGCTCAGGTTATTTTGAGAACATTTCACAAATCATTCCAATGAAACAGGAGTTTTTATTAAATTTTTTTTTTACATCTCCTGCTGCATAACATCCAGTGGAAACTCAAACATGAACCAGTGGCAGGTCAGTGGTTTTCACTATACATCTATTAACAGTTCTTCGTTCCTTTTTTGTAAACACGGGTGGAAAACGGAGTCAGCCGTTGCCACTTGTTTAGAATGTGGCACAGACCAAAGCGAGCTACAGTTTAAATAACCTCTGAGGAGGAACACCAGGAAATAAAGAAAACGATTAGCTCCAATGCTTCTCCCCGACAGACAACTCAGAGCGAAGAAAGAAAGAAATGGGATGTCACGATGTGAACAGAGGACTCTGAGGCAGAGGTATAGATAAACATGCAGACAAAACACTGGTTTTGTGTTAATCTTTGAAATGAGCTCAATTAGAATCCCTACATAAATCCAGCCAAAAGAACTTCGCTAAAAGTATAAAACAAAAATAATTTAAGTACACAGAATGAAACTAAAAATTTCTCATGGAAAAAAAAACACCTAAAATATGGAACATTGTCAGAGTTAGAGCAGAGTCAATTCTGTTAGGGAAACAGGAACAAATACCATTTCTAGAGCTTGTTGCCGTGTTAGACAGTCCTTATGTTTATTTTCACTGCTGCTGGGGACAGACGGAGTTGTGACGAACATCTAGTGTTTCTGCTCTTCACTGCGCCAACTAAACCTCAGTCTCTAAAGAGCACGCGGCCTCTTGGGGTTGATCTGCTTACTGGCCTGTTCCTCCTCCTGGAGGGCGGAGCGGAATGACTTCACCTTATCTGTATTCAGAGGGGAAAGGATGCCGTCAGTCACCTATTAGATATGGCAGTTATGAGATTTTAAAAAAGTAGTCCTAGTCCCACCTCTGAGTTCAATGAGGATCTCTATTTTCTGGTCAAGAATCTGCTCTAGCTGAGTGGCATAAGACTCCACGTCATAGTCCACCTCTTCGGTCATTTCCAGCAGCACCTTCTCATCCTCCAGCCACTTTATGGATTCCTGCTCAGAGGCACGGAAACATAGCTATCTTAGAAGAGTTTTTTTTTATTTTTTATGAGGAAATAAAAGCATGATCAACAGTTAGTTCCCACCTGGAAGACAGCTCTGTGGTCCTCCAGAACCTGCTCCTCCATTTCCACTAACTGAGAAACAGCCTCATGGAAAGTGAAGAGCTGTGGAGAAACTTCCTCTTCCTGCAAACAGATCCGGGATCAGCAGGAGAAACAGACAAAGCATGGTTAGGATTTCCCTACAAACAATAAACATGTTCAGGTCCCCTTTTTGAACCCCTGTGGATGGGAGGTGGCAGACAGTCTTCATTTAACTCCTTAAAAGCACTCTACACCAAAGGAAAGTAACAAGTGATGCTGGACAAATGTTTAATTTTAAGATTTCGATGCTGTTCTAATTTTTCAGATGATGAATTGAACAGTGCTGAGGATTTTTAACCCTTCTTTACAGTATGAAATTTTACTTTTGATATAATTAAAAAAACATTAAATTTCACAAATAGGAAAGATGCGACAAATGGAGAGTAGATCCTTTAAGAAGGTGATGATCAGGGAACTGATGCTCTGTTAGTAAATGTTTTAGAAAAAAAATAGGCTTGAAATATTCACCAACAAATGTTTGAGCAACTTCCACCTCTGTCTAAATTATCACATTTAATAAAAACTGATCGTCTCATGGTAAAGTCTCTGCGGGACTTACATTCTGCTCACAGAGCAATTTGAGGTCGTCCCTCTGTGGGGAGATACTCAGCCATTTCTCATCTAAAATATCCAGCTGGTTGATGCCGTGGATGTTGGCTCTTCCTCCCTCCATCACTTGATTGGGGTCCACTGTGAGCTCCTTCACCCTGTGGAGCATAAAACAGACAACCCTCATCAGGTCCAGAGTGGCTCAGCTGTACTCTAAGGACAGCTTCTGGTTGAGGGGAAATATGGAGGCAGTTATGGGCTCATTTACACTTTGCACATTTATATAGATTATAGCATCAAAGGCATGCAAGGGTTAAAATAAAGTCTAAATAACATGAGTTATAAAGCCAATTAAAGCCTTTATCATGGGGGATTACAACCAGGTGCCTGACCTGTAAGTATGCAATTAATGAAGAGTGTATGTGTTTGTTTAGGGGGGTATCTGCTGAGAGTTGGCCTTAAACAAAACCTCCTCCTGTATGCTTTAACAAAAGCTTCTACCCCAGAGCTAATTCTTAAAGGCTTCACTATCGCATGCAGATGTTACTACTGGCAAAACTGAACAACACAATGTAAAACAAAAAAATAGGCAGGGCAGATGGATGTCAGTCAGGAGTCACTGGGGAGGAAATAAAGATGGAGGGAAAAGAGCAAAAGAATTATAAAGGTGATGAGTTGATGAGGAGCGGACAGGTGTGATTTTAACGGGAGGAAGAGCATGCAGTATTTGACCTGCTGGGAGAGGTCGCAACAAAGTCATCGAACTCAAAGGTATTTGTTGGCGAGTGCTCAGGGCGATTCCCCTGACCGCCCTGAGAGAAGGGGATGTCTGACGGACTAATCCCAAACTCCTTCACTCTGAGCGGCAGCGCATAAAGGAGCAGAGCGAGGGAGGCAGGAAGGAGAGAGAGAGCAGGAAAGAGGAGGAATAAGAAGGTGTACAAAGAGAGAGGAAGACAAATAAGCAGATCAAAGTGACAGTAGCACTGGACGGATAAGAAAACATCCAGATAATAAAGGTACTCTAGACCAGAGCGTAAATAAAGAAGCTGGAAAGGCTAATCAGCGCATTGGTTCAAATGCTCCCACCTGTTTGCATAGCGCAGGGTGT